TCCTATAAATATTACAAATCACGATTTTCTTTAAGATGAAGAGTTCTAATCTTAATTGGCGTAGATAAATTGTATTCTGAATTATTATTATAAGAATTTTAGATGTTCTCTTTTTTTATTTTTGGTGGAATTGGAGTAGACATCAATTATTTAAGTTTCATTTTTACAGGATTATCAACTGCAATTCCTATTTTTTGATAATATTTTTTGAATCTATTCTAATTAGGATCAAATAATTGAGTATTAGTATTCATTTTCATAATTTTTTTTGGAGTTACAGATGAATGATTACTGGGAGCAGTAACAATTTCACGAAGTCGATATTCAATTGATTATCTTCGAGTTAGAAATTAAACCTTTTGATTTTCTTTAATTGGTTTAGAACCTTAAAAAATTTAACTCTGTTTTGAAAGACTTTATCTTGATTTTTCGATTAATGATTTATAGTTGTTGGACATTAAAGTCCATTTTTCTTCATTTTTTTCATCCAATTTGATTACAGGATCAATTAACACTTTTTAAAAGGTTTTTAAAAACAATATTTTCTTTTACTTTGGTTGTTCATTAAATTCGACATCATGTAAAGGTGCTTATACCTCTTCTGCACTTTTTCTTCTCACCATATATTTTATTACATTTGGACTTAAATCAGCTTTTATATTCTCCATTTTCTTTTGGATAAGCTTCAATTTTTTATTCTAAATCATAAGTATGTAACTTACATATTCTTAATTTATCTTTTTATTCTACTCCATTAAATTTTATTAAATTTAATAAATTCTAATACATATACTTTATACTACTTTATTTTATAATGATTAGAATGAGATTCATAAATTTCACAATTTTAACCAGAGATGACGAACAAATAGTTCCTTTTTGTTATGGATTGTATGTAAATAAATTAAGTTCATAAAAATTTGTAAATTTTTTGTGGTTAATACTCTTTTCATAATTTAACCCATAATCTACTAATACAAATTTATTATAAATTTTGAAAAGAAAGTTGCTTGATTATAAATTAAAAATGAAATTCATTTAATTTTGATAAAAAATGATTAGCTTTGCAATAATTGTTGATTCTATATTTTAACAATATAAGTTTGTTAAAGAAAATGATTAATAGTTTTGGATTCATTTTTTGTAGTATTAGAATTTGTAATATTATCAAGGTTTTTAATCCTGATTGAATAATTATCTATTTTTACCTATCATAAGTTAAGCATATGTCTATGCCAATATTTTTTTAAAAGTCTATAAGCATATTAAATGATTTTGCATCCAAAGTTGACATCTAATCCTTCACTTTGGTGTGGTGTGTTTGAAATATTAATTACCATTTGAGAACTTTTTTTACATGAAAATAGTCATGATTGACAGAGGTTTTATTTCAGAAATAAAATAGTACGATTAATCATAAATAATAATTTAAAGATGAAATTATTAATAAATTACGTTTCAATTTGCATGAGTACTATATGTGTTTTTTGTTACAAATATATCATATTCATTATGATTATGAATTTAAGTAATCAATGTAAGAATCTGGGCCTAAGATTTAAATGACATCAAATTTTAATCTTTCTAAAGCAAATACTTATTCTCTAATTTTATCATAAGCCAAACCAAAATTTTTTGTCGCTCTCAATTTACATAAATTAATACATTTCTAATTCAAATGTTCCTTATTTAAAATAATCTTTATAAATTAGACATGGATTATGTTAAAGAAGTGGTTAAATAAACATATCAGTTCCTTTTTTGGCAGATTCCATTAATTTTTTTATTTCGATAGGAATAGTGGTCTCAATTAATAAATTTATGATTTCAGTGCAAACAGTCCATCTTTTTTAAGAAGTTGCCCCAAATTATTCATGTAATTATTGAATACTTTGTAAACCATTAAGTTAAATCATTGATTTCTAATAATCTTCAATAAAATTTTCAAGCTAAATTTCTAATTAAAAATTCATACTTAAATATTTTTAATTCTGTTTTATTAAACATGATATTCTAATTATTTTATTTATTCTGTTAATTCTTTTACTTTATTTTCTAATAATTCAATATAGATTTTTTTTCTTTTCCTAGAATTTCTAGCAGATTCCCTATTTTTAGCTAATCTATTTTTTCCGTCAGATGAGTCACTCTCAACTATCACCTTTTAACGACTATCTCTATAAATAATATTTACGTTTATTTTGGCTTTCCTACAACTGTTGGTTTATCTATTAATTATTGAATTTTATTAAGGTATATGCTTTTAGATTGATTTGCTTAAAAAACCTCTTTATTTTTTTTCAAAAGATCCTCCTCTTTATGTTATTTATATTTTTATATTAATTCTCTTCCAACTAATGCCTTTGATCGCTCAGGCATTATAGGCTATTATTACAATATTGATTCTTCAATAATATTACAATCATTTTCAAACATCCAATCCTACTCTGCTCTATAATCATCATCCACATCTACTACAGAAACATTATTTTGATTAAGGATATTCAAAAAAGAATCTGATGGAACAATCTTAAATGGGTTACTCATATAATTATAATTAAATTATTATTTTCCTTAGTGTAATAGATCAAATCAGAATAGTTTTATTTTATTTAAAATTAAATTATAATGAAATCAATACAACATACAAAAATTAATGTCAAAATATCAATAAAATTACTAATAGTAAAATTTGTAATCCCTAACTATAACTATAGATGTCGCATTAACGATCCAATTCATTAGCATAGTCAATAGTTATACATTTATTCATAGGACTATACCAAGTACAAGTCAAACTATCATAGGCTTAAGTACATTCGTCTATTGTCGTAAAGGATGAACAAGATTATTTATAACATCTATCTTATTTCCAAACACAACCAAATAGATTGTAATGATTACATAAGCAAGAGTCTTCTATCAAAGAACAACTCAAACAACCTTTTTTTTCTTCAGAAATTTAACCATAAAAGCAATTTTCTGATTTTAACACATTCTTATGGCAATCTTCCTAAATAATAAAATTAATAATATACTTCATTAATTATCATATTACATTATTTTCTTACACATTTTTCATTCATCCATGTGCATTCAAAACTTTTATTAGAAATATTTCCATTACACTTATCAATTTCAGTAATATCACCACAATCAGTAAAAGTTGTGCAAATATTATTTTAATAAATGCATTGTTGTCCATTTATGTCATAACATGTTTCTTTAGAATTATCCTTACATTATTTTAATCTACAATTTTCTTCCCAAAAACATTATTATCCTTTGGGTGTTACTTTAGAACATGAATCTGCATTATCAATCTCCAAACATTATTTTACACTTTTGCATCCCTTTTTACTTGATGAACATGAAAATCCAACATATGCTTCTCCATCACAAGGAGAAGTAATTAAATCACAAGTTTTTATTTAGCATTGACCTCCTGACCAAATACAATCATTTCTAAATTATTCAATAATTTATTACATTCCATTAATAACTTCTTAACAATCACTTTCCTTCTTTACATCTGAACAAACTAAAGGAATTGAACACTAGATTAAACTAAAACCAATAAACAATAAGATCTTTTACATTAGAAAATAAATAATAATATTTTAACAAGCATAATATTAAAATAAAATAAAAAATACATACATATGGAAAACTAGTAACCATATGACTACATTTTTAAAATAAACAAAGCATAATTGTTTAAATTTAATAAATTATTCTTATTTTTTGTTACAAATAATTAATATATATTTAGATATTTAGTTTTTTGTTTTTGAAATTATTTAAGTGCCATATTTTCTTTTCCAATAAATAATATTTATTTTTGATAAATAAATTTCAAATTCTCTTTTGATGGAATTTTAATAATTAATGTTGATTCAGCTAAAGTTAGAAAATAATATTTTTTATTTTTGTGAGAAGAGATCAATCTACGAGAATATTTGAATAATTAGTTTATATTTTACTTTCAAATTTTCCACTATTTATAAAACATAAAAAATCTAAATTTTGATGATCTCTCTAGTTGATTATTTATTTACTCTTTAATTAATAAAGTGAAATTTATATGAGATTTATATCAAATTACGATATATTTTTCATGCATCTTTTGAGTTAATATTATCTATCATATAACAAAATGCTTGTATTTCATTATCAAATTTTTTAATTCCCATAATTTATGTAAATAGAATTAAATATTTTTTCATTGATTTAAAGAAAAAAAGATTCTGAAAAGATTTCAATCGAACCTATAGACTTTTGGATAGTTATTTTAAATTATACAATATTAAATTGTTTGAAACTAATTTTTTATCTTAAAGATAACTTTATGATAACATTAGAAATAAAAAAGAATTAATAGTTAGTATTTAATATAGCTGTTTTGAAGGATAGAATAGAAGAAAATATATTCAAAAATTATGGTTTTGTTATTGTGATACAATAGAGTAAATTATTAATGAGAATATATTTTTTTAGTAAAAGATAAAATTAGAAGGTGTTAAAGTAAACTGTGTATTTAGATTTAGAGATCATTTAAAAGAGTTTGATTATGAGTTGGTAGACAGAATATAATGTGGAGATAAATAATAAGGGATATTTTAAAAGAGTGAAAGAAACATTTAGAGAAAATAAATGGAGAATAATTGAAATAATTAGGAAGTTTTATTTGTTGTATTGAAAATTTTGAGAATAAAAATAATAAGAACAAAATATTTAGTTTTAATTTAATAAAAAAAAATGAGAAAAATAAAATGAATAATTGAATAGGTGAAATGTTTACTTAATTATGATTTGGGATAGAATAAGAAATGGAATAAATGTGAAGGAAATGTGATTAAAAAGTAAACAAATAGAAATTGAGTCAAGAATTTAATTAAAATTTTGAAAATGAAGAAATAATAAAATTAAATAATATATATAAATGATTGAAATTTTAATGAATGTATGATTGATGGATATTTATTATTAATAATCAGAGTTGAAATGCTAAATCTACATTTTTGATTCCATCTCCAAAATAGGCATATCCAAAAATTTTAGTTCCTGCTCTATGATAACCTAAGAACCCTGGCCATTATAGATTACGTATAGTTATCTAATGATAGAATTAAATAAATACTTAATATTTAGATGAATCAGTTTATAAACTCCATTATCCAACAGGATGATCATCTAATTAGTCGAAGAAATTATAATGAAAAAGTGCATCATCTTAAGCAATTAATTCTTTTTTTAATTATGTTTAAGGAGCTCTAAAATGTTAATAATTGATTATTTATGAAGCATCTTAAAGATTTAGACCTTCAAATGAATCATTATATCTAAGAAAAGAATGTTTATTAAAATTTAAATATACCTTAATTCATGAGTAGGAGTTAATCTAACTGCCCCAACTGGAAGAAGTGCACATTCAAATTCAATTGCATTCACAACATAAGCTAATCTATCAACTTCTAAAAAATTCTTAGGAGGTGGTTTAATTTCAACATCAGAGTCATCATCATTTTTTACAACTGCTTAAGGTTCATCCGGATTTACTTAATCAGCAGGTGGTTAATCTCCATCTTCGCCTGTTATGTTTATGAGGATTTTATCAGGTTATCCAGAAAATAATTATCTGAAAGTTTCAACTTATTCTTTATATTCTGGATTTAAAGGTGGTAAATTTTAGAATTCTTTTAAATTTGCTGTATAGAAGAATGTTTTGTGTGGAAATTCAAAATTATTCTTGAAATTCAATCCAATAGCAATATAATAATTCGCAACTGTTCCTTCTATTCTTCCCCAAAATAATAATTAATCAAATGACTAACTTTGACTAAGCTTTATTAAAGCTATTTCTAATTTTATCCTATATTACATTAATCAATACTTCTCTTCTGCACTTAATGTTTGACCAATTTAATTTACAAATCTCAAATCTTCAGGAATACGATAAATTTCCATTTATTAATATATATAATACAATTTTTAATATTTTTATTTGTTATCTAAATAGATTATATATATATATATATAATGCTGTATTTTTAAATTAAAAAAAAATAAATTTAATAATAAAATGTCCGATAATTAATAATCATCTGAAATTCCAGAATAACTCAATCTAGATTCTACTCTTTAATCAGATTAACCTTAAGAATCAAAAGTTCTCAATACTTGGGCTAGATCATCAAAAGATTTAATTGATAAATATAAAAATAAGTTTGATGCATTTAAAGCCATGGCTGTACAAATAGGTTATAATGATCCAACATAATAATAAACTAAAATCGAGAACAAATTAGATCAATTTAAAAAAATGGAGGTCAATCCAGAAATAAATGAAGATGAAAAAGTTACTTAAAATCAAAATGTGGTTTAACATAATTTAATTAATGATAAACCTTTTGAAATACCTTCTTTTAACCTTTAACAGCCTGATTCTAAACAAAACTTAAATGAACAGAATGAAATTATACAATAGACTGTATAATTTTAAGAAGATTCTATAAAATTAATCTAACCTCTTGAAAATACATTCAAGTAAGAATAATCTATTGATTCAATTAAATATGATATGAAACTTAATGAATAAACCAATCTTGATTCATTTCCGGTAAAATAGGAAATATAATCATAAAAAAAATTAGATAGCTTATTTAATTTAGATTTTGGATCTAAAAATCAAGATATTGTTGAATAGAAAGCAATTGTCAATCAAGAGCCACCAGTTGTAGCAAATAATTATATAGAATTATTAGATTAATTTAAGAGTGCTACTACATTAGAAGATTTAACTGATTTATTCAATCGTAGAACTCCTTTCAAAGAAAGAAGCAATCACTAAGATCTACCATAAAATATAATTAATAATGATTATAATTCTACAAATATTAATGTTAATGGTGATTAAAATTAAAAATAAAGAGCTAAAAATTTGGAAAATCTTTTATAATAATTTAAAACTCCAAATAAATAAGAAGGTTTACTAGAAAATGGAAGTGGTAAGAATGGTGGTACTTATTTAAACTCTTAAGTTCCATAAGTTAATATTAAATTATCTAATGGTAAATCTCCAAATGCAAGATTTGGTTTTATTTAAGCAAGTCCTTCTTCTTAATTTATTGGTACATCAGGTTAGAAAACAAAAAAAGAAAATACTTATCTTAATGCTAAAGTTTAATAAACTATGAATTTCACAATTGAAGTTAAGGATAATGTAAAACCTTATAAAAGAAAAGATGAATTATCAAATTTTATGGGTAAATTAGGATTGGGTAAATATGAAGCACCAAAAGTAACAATTAACTTAGATTAATAAAATGGATAAAGTAAATAAATTATTTTTATTATTCTTAGACGCCTTTGATCGATTAAAACATTATGTTAATAACATTGGACATACAAGTGCAAAGAGAACACCAAGTTCAGGCTTAGATGAGCTAGTCAATGACAAATCTTTTAATACTTGCACTTTTAAATAATAAATGAAAGCTTACAAGAAAGACAAAGGAGACAGAGGAGACAGAGGAGACAGAGGAGATAGAGGAGATAGAGGAGAATCTATATAAAAAACAGGTGTATCAATAGAAAATCCAATGTTATAAGACTAATCATTTAAAAATTTACATCTCAAATTATTACATCATTAAAGAGCAAATTCTTAAGTTGGAAAAGCTGTTAGAATATGAAATATACTTTTTTTATAAATTTATTATTATTATATCTGTTATATATAAAAAAATAAATAAGGAGATTAATACTTTCATTTTAGTCGAAGTTAAAAATATACTTATTTGACAAATGATTTCACTAAATCTAAATTTTCATTTGCCTGATTCCTAAGTTTATACTTATTATAATAATTCATTATTTACATCAAGTTTTCTTAATTTTTTATGATCCATTAAACAACAAAGTCTAATTTCTTATATCTTTTAAGGATATTAAAGACTTTCTATTTTTTAACATTATTCTGTTTTATTGAATGAGAATCTCTCAAATAATTTGTTAAAATGCTAGCAAGATCTATATAAGTCCAAAATCTAAACGCTTAATAGTGATTATAAAATTGTATTTAAATGTTTATTTTAATACTTTTTTTTTTAGATCTAATTCATTGCTGCATTAATAATTAATTCTATTGGATAAAATAGATAAGAAGTCATAAAATAAATTAGAAAGCACAAGAATACAAATAGGCATGCTTATTCAATTAATGAATTTGAAAATGTATTCTTTAATTGAGAGTTCAAGTTAGAATTGAAATCATATGAAAATTTATTAAATTCTGAACTACTTATCAATCTAAAATATAATTTTTAAAGATACTTACACAATAATAGTCATATTAAATTAATATAAAGTTGATCTGCTAACGAACATATCTTAATTATAAAATGAGTTATATAGACATTTTAAATTTGTTGTTGTTGTTTGATTTTTACAATTTGAAATAAATGTAGAATCTGATAAACCTTCCCAGTCTCTAGAATTGAAACCAGTAATAGATTCATTGTAGAAATAAAGTGGTAATTTATCTGAAGTGATATTGTATGGATGCATAATCAATATTCCATCTAGAGATGCAAGAAAAATAGAAGTAAAATCCTTTCCAAATTATTAAGTTACTTTTTACAATAAATTTGATGGAATCAAATCAAAAGTTCCACTGCCAATAAAATCAAGATTCTAATCAACAAATGGAATTGTCATAGATAATCCAATATTGGTGGATTTGAATACTTATTTAAATAAAAACTTTAATTACATAAATAAGGATAAGTAATGGAAAAGTTGTATCTATTGTATGGGTTATGAAACTGGAAATTTCTTTTGGCTTCTTTATACCATGTTCTATTTTCAGGTATGTAATTGGCAATATCATGTCTTTGTAGACAAGGGTATGTCATTAACATGTTGTCTCTTTTAACATAACCATACAGGAATGATTACAAAGTTGTTTTACCTTAAAAAATAACCATTCCTAAGCTCTACATTGCTTCTTAAGTTTTTATATTAATGAACTCATCTTAAGTATAAGGATGATTAAATTTTGTTTTATTTGTGTAACAAAGACAAGAAAGAGTTGTATTGTAAATACCTAATTTTGAAGATTAAATTGATGACGGAATTTTAGAATTGATTCCTCCATAATTCATATTAAACTTAGAATTTAGTGGCTCAAGATTATTCTTTGTTTTATTTCTAAGATATGTGTAAAGTTAAAAAAATTATATGAGTGTTTGACCATCTAATTATAATTATATGTTTACTCGTATGAAACAATGATTTAAAGTATGAATTGTATTCATTTAATTATGATTAGAGTAGGGAATTTGATGTTTTGAGGTAAATTTTTTAAGAGGATTCTGTAAAATATATTTATATAAAGGTTGTATGTATGTAATTGCTGCAAAGAATAAAGGTCATGATGAAAATTATTTAAAAACTAATCAAAACTAGTAATTGATTCTTTAGTCTCATATTTTTAAGATAAGTGAAATTATGTTAGATATTTTTTTGATGAATTGGTTCCATTATATAAAACTTCGTTATATGTTATATCAATTTATAAAAACTAAATAACTTAAATTTTATTTAAATAATTGAGGTAAGATAAATGATTTTTTATCAACAATGATTGTTATTTTAATAATTATATTTTTTAATAAACAAGATAAATTTAATAAATAATAGCATTGAGTCTAACTAAAAAATAAATATATAAATAATTATTAAATGGCAGGTGGATTAGAGAGAGTATATGGAACAGAAGAAGATAAAGTAAATTAGAAGTTAAATTTAATTAGGTGAACTGTTCATTTTATATAAAAATTGGAGCTTGTCGATATGAAAACAAATGTTAAAGAATTCATAGTATCCCTCCAATCTCTTAGACGATTTTATTTAAAGTAAGAATTATAATTTATAGTACAGCATATGTATTAGAATTCACCGATGGAAGTAGCTATAGCTTCAGGAAATGCAGTGTCTTAAGCAGGTATTGAAGAGGCATTAGAAAAATTCGAAAATTTTTATGAAGATGTATTTTTGAAAGTAAAAGTTGATATTATGACAAAGCTGGCAGAGTTTGGAGAAATTGAAGATTTAATTGTATGCGAAAATATTGGAGATCATTTAGTAGGAAATGTATATGTGAAATATACATCAGAATTATTTGCAGAATCATGTTTTAATGCTTTATAGAATTTATCATATGAAAATAGACCTTTATAGATGGAATATTCACCAGTGTTAGATTTTAGTAGTGCTAAATGTAAACAATATATAGATGGAACATGTTAAAGGTATGAATTTAGAAATGAAAGGTATAAAGAGGTGGAGCATGTAATTATTTGCATTTAAAGAAAATTTCTACAAAGTTTAAAAAAAGTTTATTCAATTAAATGTATGAAGAACATCCAGAATATAGAGAGAAAAAAGAGAAAGAAGTCATAGAGTAGGATATTGAAAATAATAATTTAGAAAGAGTCCTAAGAAGCAAAAAAAGAAGGAAAAGAAAAGTAAAAAGAAGAAGAGTAGTAGTAGTAGAGAATCTAGTCGAAGAAATTCTATTGAAAGATAAAAAATGATTAATGATTGGAATGAAACAGGTATTCAAAATGTAATTAATTTAAATTATAAACATTTTAAAGGTTTCTTAAGCATAAAAAATGATGTATGGAAATAATATGCCTGCTCCAGTTTATACTCCAAAAGTATCAATGAGAACAAGTCCAGAATTATTATAATTATAATTATAATTGGCTGCTTTAAAAGAGTAATTAGCTGCAATCAAGATGAGTTGAATAGTCTATTATATATATAATATTATATATATATATATATTTATTATGAGAAGGAAGAATTGGAGGCCTGAAGTATAAAATATATATTCTTATAAAACAAGGAAGATAGAGCTTTGCTTGAAATATGCAAGACTTAAAATTATAATTGGAGAAGAGTTTCAAAATAAATGATTTCTATGGGTTATAAAAGATCAGGTAAATCATGTAAAGAGAGATTTCATAATTAATTAAATCCTTATATCAATAAAGATCAATGGACTTAATTTGAAGTTGATAAACTATTTGAATTATAAAACAAATATGGTAATCGATGGGTAATTATCTAAAAAAATACTTAAATAGAGGATCATTGCTAAAGAATTGCCATACAGAACAGATGGTCTAATTAAAAATTATTTTTATTCTCTAGTAAGAAAGGTTCTCAGACGCCTTTCTAAAACAGTAAATGGAACCAAAAATGGTAAATGTCAAATTAATATATCAGGATCCTAAATGACTAAGACTCTTAAACCTTCTGTTATTTCTTAAATATTTTGTGTTAATCAAAATCAAATAAATGACGGACCTATTTAAATAGAATTTGCTTAACTCTTTCGAAATATTATTCTAAAATACAAAAATTATAATTTATCTCAATAAATTGATATCGAAGACATAGATAAAATTAAATCCATTTTTTAAACATTACAACAATTAAAGTATATTTTCATTTCATTTAGTGAATCATATAATGATGATCTAGAAAAGAAGAATAACTCTAAAAGTAGATCTAAGAGCTAAAAGCTAAAAAATAAATCAACTAAACTCAATATTGATAATGTATATCAAATTTACTATATATTCTAATAGATAATTCTTAAAAAAATATAGCTTAACCATCCAATTTTTACAATGAAATCATGTCCATTGCCAAAACTATATTCAAAATTTCAATTTAATCATAATACTTATCATCCTACAAAAATTACTTATTAATCAATTTCATCTTTCACATCCTAAAACAAAGATTAAAATAACTCTTTTGGGTCTATTTTAATTAAACCTGAATAATTATTATTTTTTTAACCACTTCCTTAACCATATTATGTATTTTTATAATAAATTATTAGCCCATCAATATAAGCGCCTTCATCTAACAATAATCAAGTATTCACACCTATTATAGTTCTTACTTCCATCCACCTCCTGAAATTAAAGAAGAACATGAAACATGATTATATCAATTAACTTTCTAATTTATATGTTTACCTTTACATTATTAATCAATACCCTTTTTACTTTGCCATTCATTTATTTCTCATCATTCATTCCTAAATCTTCTTTCTTAGTGACTTTCTACTTCAGAACCAAATAAATATTTTATATAATTTATTGAATTGGGGGTTATAAATTATATTTTTCGTATAAATTTTATTATAATTTTTAATAAAAACAATAGTATAATCATATTTAATTTATCCTTAATTATTAGTCTTTAATGTAAACTAATTCTGTATTACTAGATTCTAAAAAAAATATTTTTTAGACAATCATCTTACTGTCAAAAAGTAAATTATTTAAATTTCTTTTGGATTCTATTTTTCTCATATAGAAAATAATTAAAATTCATAAAGTTTACCTAATTTATAAAATACTTAGACTTTTTCAAAAAAACTAAGTTGCTGACATAAACTTTTTATATTCTTTAAATAATTAGCAAGTTCTAACTTTGAATTCTTCTTATTTTTTTCATTTATCAATATTTATTATGATATAATTGCAATTAATGTTATTTTTTGTTTAATTGCAATTGCTTAAATAAATTTAAAATCTACTATTATTAAAAAAGTTTTCATATCCAATAATGATAACCAATAATGCAACTTTTACTATCGTTTTTCGAATTATCTAATAATATCAACCTTATTTTTGGGATTAATTATTTTATTTATAATCTATAGAGATTTAAAATCAAGAAACATTCATTTTTTGATAATTATTCTAATTCTCAATTAAGTAATAATATTGATTATATCTATAAATTAAAAGTGAAAAAAAATTAGAGAAAAAAAGAAAAGAGAAGATAAAGAAGCTAAAAATGACAGCAAATTTTCAATTTGAAAATTTGAATATTACATAATAATTATCTAATATTTAACAAAGTGAATCAAATTTGATATTCCTATAAGCATAAAGCAGATTTATATTTAAAATACAATAATTAGCTGAAAGCACTAATTTTATATTAATTTTATAATATATTTAATATGCTAAAGTTTGATATATCAAATGTAAAGGGTAGCGAAAAGACCCTATTAAAAATGATAATCGAAAAGTAAAATTGGATAGATTGCGGTGAACAGCATTCCAAAGCTAAAATTGTTTGGAACTAAAGAAAATAAGATAAATGTTCAAAATATTCAATAAATCGACCTAGATTATAAATTTCTAATAAAATTAAAGGAATAGCAACAATAAGTTAAAAAGCTTCAACAAAGTAGTGTTTATCAACATTTGCTTTATTTTATCCTGAAATTAATGAAATTTACCCTGAAACTTACATTTATCCTTAAGACAGAAATCTCTTATATTCTAAAAATCTCAATTTATTTATTGCTAAACCCTCAAATGGATCTGAAGGAAAAGGAATATTTTTCCCAAATAGTATGAATGATTTAGTCAAAAAAGCAGGTCTAGAATAACTTGTAATATAAAAATATATAGATAATCCTATGCTTTTAGATAATAAAAAGTTTGATCTTAGATTTTACATTCTCATTCATAAATTAAACCCATATATTTGTTATTTGAATAAAGAAGGATTAGTAAGAATATGTGTTGATGCTTATGAAAAAAATAATAAAAATTAATTTGCTCATTTAACAAATTATGCAATTAATTGTGAAAACTCTAATTATGTTCCATGTTCCAATGATTTTATTAATGATAATCAATCTAACAAATAAAGTTTTTCTGCATTTCGATAGACACTCTAAAAAAACGGCTAAGATGATCAAATTTTATTTCAAAATATCGAAAATTTAATTGCTCAATTTATGAAAGCAATATATCCATTTATACTTTATCATTCAAAAAGCGATAAATCTGAGCAATCACAAAATTTTTGTATTATTGGTTTAGATATCATATTAAATAGTGAGGGTTAGCCTTTTATTTTAGAAATGAATTCATCTCCAAGTTTATAGATAACTTAATATAAGAATAATAAAGAAGAAATATCTCCTTTTGATTTTTATGTTAAAGAATTGGTAGTTACTGATGCAATTCTAATTGCAACAAATAAAAAAGAGTGGAATGATACATCTTACAAATTATTAAGTGATGAATATCAATTAGTAAATAATTCAGTTTTAGAATTGTTAAATTTGTTTTGGTATTGTGGAAAAGGAATGAAAACTTTATCATGTTCTTAATTTTGTAAGATCAGCAATTTTTCTGGAATGCTGAATGATAATCTATAAAGAGTTGAATATTAAATTCTTTTTTGTAAGTTTTAAGTGTAAAGAATAAATTTTTATTAATTTCTTGAATTGATAATTGCAATTCAAAAGAGAATGAACATTTAATTGCACAATCTATTAGAAATGATTCGTATTTGATTTTTAATATTAATAATTTGAAAATATTATGAATTATATAAGAGAAAAAGTATCTGGAAAAAAGAAACGATTCATAAAGGAAGGATATAATTTAGATCTAACATATGTAACAAAAAGAATAATTGCAATGAGTTATCCTGGAGAAGGATTAGAAGGTTTATATAGAAATCCAATAGATTAGGTTGAATAAATTAAATATAGTTAGGTTGCTACATATTTAAATACATAACATAATAGAGATTATATGGTATTTAATTTAAGTGGTAGAAAATATGATCGTTCAAAATTTGGAGGAGAAGTATAAGATGATTGGTAATGGAAAGATCATCACTCTCCTTCATTAGATCTTTTGTTTGAAATATGTGATCTTATTCATGGGTATTTAAAAGGTGAGATTGTTTTTAAAAATTAGGTGATAAAGTTAATGTAGTAGTAATACATTGTCTTGCAGGTAAAGGTAGAACAGGAACTATTATTTGTTGTTATTTGCTTTATACTGGTAAATTTCAGAGTGTAGCTGATGTACTATACTACTATGGCACATAAAGATTTGAAGTAGAGGGTTTAGGAGTTAATCAACCTTGTTAGATGAAATATATTGAATATTTCTATAAACTTTTAACAATGGGTATTAAAGGTTAGATTGTTTATCCAACATTTATTAATATCAAGAGAATAACATTTTAGGGAAAGTAATGTTTCATTATATATTATTTTAAGAGCTCCTGCTTTTAGCATGAATGGAACTTGCAAACCATATATGTAAATTATTTAAGTAAAAGGTGATAAAGAAATTTATTCAACACAAAAAGATGCAAAAAAATATAAAGGAGTTTCACATGATGTAAATCATTTATATTAATTTAAGTTATTATTTGGAAAAGTTATTCCCATATGTGGAGATATACTAATTAAAGTTTTTAATGATGGAATGCTCAAAAATTAAAAAATGTTCAGATTAGCATTCAATACAGCTTTTATTGATGAAACTGCTTAAAAGTAATATATTATTATATTATAAGCACATTATAATTCTCTTTAAAGGATTTAGATCCATCTTAATTACTTAAAGATGATAGATTTGATAAAAATTTTTAAGTCGTTGTATATATATTTTTAAAATTAGATTTATAGATCTAAATTGAGCCATGCATAAAATGCAATAATAAAACAGAATTTAATTAGTTGTGTAATTTTTGTAAACCTCATTTGATAAATGAAGAAAAATAATGGAATAAAATAATAGGATTAATAAGTTAATATAAAGTGCCTGATGATGAATTGGCTACAGAATTATTATTTATTAATAAATCTTTTGATGATGTTGAAGAAATAATGTAATTTAAACGAAGTGAAAATTCAAATGATTATGATCCAAAAACTCTTGAAAACATAAATAAAAGATCAAGAGCAAAAACAATAAAATTTTAATAAGAATAATTATAGCAATAATAATAATAAATTTAATAATAAGAAGGATAATGTTTCTAAGAAAATGATATTCAAAATTAATGAATATTTAATTCTTAATTGTCAAATATAAATAAAAGTGTTTAATACTTAATCAAAATTAAAATGGTCTTATTTTAAAAGAATTTGTTCTTTCTTCTTTAAGTTAAGGTAATTAAATTTTACCTATTACAATTGTTTTTGTAGGACTAGATGTTTTTGATTTTTCAGGAGATTTTGGTAGCTTTTAAAAATAATTATCTAGTGGTAAAACTTATTATTAAAACTTTCTTGATTTTGAAGTTGAATTTGGTTACTTTTACAATAATAAACTTTTCTTTTAAGGTGAAATACTTTAAAATTGTTAGAGTAATTATTTTCTCGATCCTTTAGATTTTGAATTTTAAGGTTATCTAAAGAATTTGCCTGTTGCATAATATTAATCCTCTTAAATAGAAAAGAAATTTGATTATGCTCTTAATTGTCTAGTTTAAGTCAAATTAAATTCTTATTTTTCTTCTTTTTATTATTATTAATGCCAATATTCTTCAAGTTTAATAAAATCTAAACGATCTTCAGGGTTCAATTAAATCATTTATTTTAATAGCCTTGAAATTTCATCATCATTTTCATCTATTTTATTTATTAATTATTCAATAAATTCTATATCTGTGAGATTTTTCCTTTACATCCAAGATATACTAAAATCTCTAAAAACATATAAAAACAATAGTCCTAAAGAAAAAACATCAGACAAATAATAATTTTTTGCATTGTTGTTTAACATTTCTGGTGACATATATTTATAAGTCTAAATTAATTCATATATTACCCCAGCCTAAAGAAACTCGGATTCTTATCGTTTGCTTTATGCAACATCACATATTTTATATACTATTGGATCTCTTTACATAACTAGAATATTTGCTGGTTTTATATCACAATGAGCAATTTTATTTCGCTATAAATATGCTAATGCGCTTAATGTCTAATCTATTAATTCTTTACCAATAGGATACTTTTTTTTTTTATAAGTATCTAAATCAAACTTACCTAGTTCCATACATATGTATCCATTCTATTCTTAATGATATTAATTGTTTGAATGTAATAAAATGCATGAGTCTAAATATTAGACTATATTTGGATGATTTAGTTATTCTAATAATTAAACTTCTTTTTTCATAGCATTTGCATCGTGATGCTAACAATCTAATTTTATATTACTTCTTTTATAGCCACTTATCTTCCAAAAAGATCCTATCCAAGATAGACTCTATTTTACCCATTTCCTAACAATTCTTTTATTTAATATTTATAGAAGATGTTTGATCCCTAAATACACTTGATACTTTTTAAATTTGCATGAATGTCTTTCAAATAATCATTTTGATCGTTCATTTTATAAAAATATATTATCTTTCTAATATATTATAAATTTGATAATCTAATCACTATTGATTTTCATATTTTATTTTTTTAGTTAAATTAAAAAAAAACAAGATTAATCTTTATTAAGATGAAGTATTTCTAAATAAATAAGATAGCTTGTTTATTTATCATCAAATGCTAATAGAAATGAATAACTCAGTATTTAAGTTGCTTTTACAATAAACAACTAATTTTGGAATAACTTTTTATTAAAATCAAAAAGGTTGACCTTCGTCAATTTAGTTACTTGTATAAAACTATTACTATTAAAAATTAAACTAAGAATAAGAAAATCCTAAATATATATATTTAATTAAATCAATAAAAAGTTTTTCAAGATATTTTAAATATCAAATTTTTAACAATATTATTATAGTTTATATATTCTAGTTTTGGTGCTTCTTAGTTTAAAATTTATAAAAAAATGAAAAGGTTGTTGAATTATTTATAATTTATAAGCAAACTAATTTTAATCACAATAAAATACTTAATATTTTAATTTTTGGATTTTGGGGATGCCATTTCGAAATAGTAATATAAATCTTAAAAGATTTAAAATAAATAAATAAGTTTATACTTCAAAATAATTATAAACAATTTTATCTGGCTAATAAATTTAATATAAAAGTTAATGTGATTCCAATGAATAATTCAGTTGGAAATTTCGAAATTAATAAATCTATTTGATTAATAAAAACTTCTCGAAGTTTCAATTATAAATAATAATGTCATATTTGAAGTGTAGGCTAAAAAAGAAAATATATATTGCACATAGTTGGCAGTTATTAATAAATATAAGCTATAAATGAAGTTTATGCATCATTATTGGTTGATTAAGAATAAAAAGTGTTGAATTAGTAAGAGTGAATTCTAATGAATTTTGATTTAATAGAATAATAATTTTCTAATTAAAAATAAATTAATAAAATTATTTTAATAAGATAAAATGTATATTAATAATAAATATATTTATGATTTGAATATAATTCATTCATTTGGCTTTATTAATAGCAGATTAAAGTTCATCAGAAAAAGCTTAAGTCATCAAAACATCTAAGGCTTTTTCTATAAAACCAATTTCTCCACTAATGGCTGCAACTAAATCATCATGAATTTTTTGATTTTATGAAAAATTATTGTTTTCAGTAGTTAAACGATCTTAATAGCCTTATAACTCTCTAGCCCTTGTGTCTAATAATCTATTGGTGTCTTCAATTTATACTAAAATAGTTTAAGTAATAAAAACTACATGATCTTTATTCTCTTTCTGCATAAGCATCACTATATTGTTTTTCAAAAACTTATTTTTCGTTTTCTAATTGAGTCATTCTATTTGAATGTAATAATTTTTATTAATCTTCATCATTATAAGCTGCTTATAAAGTTTCTACAAAATATCCTCTTAATGATTATAATAAATCGACTAATTGTTTTTAAACTTCTCTATCTGCAAAATTTTATTTTTCTGTAATTTACATTAAAGCTTAAATAATGGATCCAACATAATCTGTAGATTTGGATGATTTCTTTTAAAGGAATAGTAGATGATCATTAATTTAATCAACTTCAATAAATGAATTTTAACTGCATCTTTTAATATATTCTAAAGTATCATCAGTTGCTTTAATAGCTTCAGTTATTTCATTAGCTTATTATTAGAATTATGAATTCTATTCAGCTCTCAATGCTTCAGCATTCTTTTTAGCTACTTCATTTTTACCCATATTGGTTTTCAAAGTTAATAAAATTTCATTAAGTTCTTCTTTTCTAGGTTCATATTCTTATGTTAATTTTTTTCTATCTCTATTAATAGCTAATCCACCTTCAGTTACGAATGATTCATATTAAATTCTACGTGCATTATGATCTCCAAGTCTATTTTACCACTTAATTAAATAATAATCATTACAATAGTGTTTTCTTCATTAAGTCTATCCTCTTATTAACGACCAAAAGCTTTAAGAACTTCAATCAAGATATCTACAGCACCAGAAGCCTCTAATTTTTGATAATGCTTATTACGTGCATCTCTAATTAAGCAAATTCAAACATCATCTTTCCTAATGGACCAGATTGAAGAAATTCTTTTACAGCTGTTTATGATTCAGTTGTAAGGGTAATTTACTCATTCATCTATATAGCTAATGCAATTGAAATTAATAAGGCAACTATCATTAATTCGTTTTTTACAATAATAATAATATATAAAAACTTTATTATTAACTTATTCCTGTTACACTCTATTTTATTCTCAAAAACTAATTTATCAATTAATTTATTTAAATTCTCATCTTTCTATTTATATTCCCTCATTTAATGAGCTTATTTAATTAAACAAATAAATATTCCCTTTGATAATAAACTTTTTTGACAATTTTTGTATTTCTAAATTTAGTTATTTATATAAATATAATTATCATATCATTTCAATAATCTTTGAATTTTGTATATAGATATATACTTAGAGTCAATGATGATGGAATAGTTCTATATTGATAAATATAAGAATTATGTGTTATTTATAAATATTAATATTTCTACTTTAATTATTATTTAATTAATTATTATTTCTGATTACAGTATTAAATATTTCTAATTTAAATAAAATGGGAGTAAGACAATCAGCTCCAATTAAATAAGACTTTATTTAACTAAATTGTAATTACTGATTGTTTAATAAACTAGAGAAGAAGATTTCATTATCTGGTTTCACATTTAAAGGACTTTTAGAACATCATAGTAGAGGTTACATTTACAATTGGATTGTTGAATAGGATGGTAATCCTGATTTACTTGTAATGAAAATGATACCAAAGTTGCAATTATATAATGAAAAGAAGATTAAAGCATATATAAGAGAATTATTCTTGATGGTTTCATTATAGTTTCCATTTTTAATACAGCCTTTTTATGCATTTTAAGATACTTATAATTTATATTTGGTATTGGAATTTGTGTCTGGAGGTGATTTGAGAACTTAATTAAAGTTATAATCCATGAATGAAGGAGAAGCAAGTATAAAATAAATATTAAGAAAGAATAGAAATATTGATAGCACAATTATTAATAGCATTAAACTTTTTACATTAAAAAAGAGTGATTCATACAAATTTGAATCCATGCAACATTTTATTAGATAATAGTGGATATATAAAAGTATATGGTTTGCATTCTTCGAGTTGTGGAGGGCAATTTAGAATTGAAGAGGATATATCTGAATACATGGCTCCAGAAGTACTATTAAGAGAAGAATTTGGATTTGAAGCTGATTATTATTCAATAGGAGTGTTATTGTATGAAATAATGGCATAAAGAGTAAAGAATTTAATTGAGATAATAATTAGAAAATGTATGAATACAATTCAATTGATGACATGATTGACAATATTATCAATAAATAAGTATCTGTAAAAAAGTCAGAACTTTCTGAAGGTTGGTCTTTAGATGCAGCAGATTTCATTAACAAATTAATCTAGAAAGATCCAAAAAATCGTTTAGGTTATTATGGATTTTAAGATATAAAGAAACATATCTGGATGGAAGGTGTTTAATGGTAAAAAATAGAAGAGAAAATTATTATAAATACTTTTATACCAAAATAAGTGCCATACTCTACAACTATTCATAAACAACCACCTCTAACTCATGCTATAGTATAAACTTAAGAGTTTTAGAATTTGTTTAGTTTATTTTAATATAGATGGGATGAAGAAGTTAAAGAAATAGATTATTCTAGATTTATATGATCTGTCATTATTATTATTATTATTATTTTGGTTTTCTTACTCTTTTTTTCTTTTCTTTTGGAGGTTCATAACCAGGAGGATAATTATTATTTTATTGTTTACCAAATGTTTCATTAACTTATAATACTCTAGCACCTTCTCCAGCTTTTAAAGCTCTCATTTATTAGGCAAGAGGATTATCTGCAAATGCTACAAATTGTTTTTTTGGTGCTTCTTATGGAGGTTATTTAGTAGGAGTAGGAGCTCTTTCTTCAAATTTTATATTTGAAGGTCTAAATTAAACATCATATAATTCCAAAAACTTTCTATTGATTATTTCTTTACCATTATAATCAAAAACTGAATATTAATTGTCTACATTCATTCTTGGTGTTACTTTTGCACAAACATAATATCTACTACAAGGTGACCAATGACATAAACTGGCTGATTTATATTTATTGCTACTAACTTATTTAAGGGTTTTAGCATCCCAAATATGGATTGATCCGTCTAAATTTCCAAATCCACAAATCATTACAAATCTACCATTTCCCCATATAATTTTATTCTTATGGTCCTTTCCAAATTCAAAAAGTGGCTTACATGTATTGTCATACATAACAGCACCAGAAGGCATGAAACCTGATAGTAAAATGAATTCTTTTGAGGAAGGTGACCATTAGACATGATGTATAGGACCTTCATAGGTTGGTAATTCTCTTAGAGCATTTTTTGGGAAATCATAGAATAAAACTTAATTTTATCCAAAATAACTTTTATTTGTATTGTCTTCATGAAATCCTTTATTAATCAAAAGTGATTAACCATTAGGTGACCATATAACTTCTAGATCACTAGTTTAATGTAATTTTTTTTCATATTTGACTTTGCCATTAATATCAACAATTTTTAAAAACGACTCTTTAATATTGAAATCCATTAAACTATAACAAACAACTAAAGGTTTTGGTGTATTAGGTTATACACTAAAAAACTCACAATTTCCAATATCAGTTTGATAGATACAGTTATTATCAGCATAGCAATGTAATTTTGAATTAATGATAATAAAGTAATATTGATCATCAGATGAAAACTTCAAGATAGGCCAAGCTTCTCTTTTGAAAGTTTTAAAATTGAAATTAATTCCTTTCGATTCTAATGATGGAAATTTAAGGATTTATAATTGAAATGATTGCTAATCTATTTTTTCAATAACAAGAAGATGTTATTTAGATTCAGTAAGATGAACATTCTATAAGTTTGTAAATTCAAGTTCTTTGAGAATTTATTTGTAATTATGGAGTTTGATTGACTACTTATTGAACATAATAATTTGATCTTCTAAAATAATCAATTAGGCATTTGAATCCTAATTAATGAGTTGCATTTCCTCATCTGACTTAGCTAACATGGAAGTAAGATAAACTCCATTTTTATTACGAATAATCAATTGATGAGGAATGTTTTGCTCCATAATTTAATTTATAATAAAATAATTGATTATTTATAAATCATTTGTAATCTGCTACTCCTTCTAATGTTTTCATAACTCTTTTAAATTATCCTCCTTTTTATTCCATAGCTTCTAAGAGTAAACCAACTGTATTCAATTATTCTTCCCTAACGTAAATTAATTATATACAATTATCTTTTTTCTAATTTATATGCAAATTCTTAATCATTACACATTTCAATTTTAGTTGATAATAAATCTTTATTATTAGTAATAGAGAATTTAGTCAAATCTTCACTTTATTCTAATGAATTTAATTATTAACTTAAAGCAGCAGATTCATTTGCTAATTGTGATATTTCAACATCAGCTTATTATTTTTATTTATTTATTAATTTTAAAGTTTAGATAATAAGATCTCCTTTACTATCATCAGCTTTTTCTTCTCTTCTTTTTACTTATGCAATCCAATCTAAAATACTGGCTGTAATATCAATAACTTAACTAGCTAATTTATTTAAAGTTTCTTCAGAATCATCATAAATAATATTCCCTTCTTTTATATCATGCATTTATTAACATAGATCTTCAATTCCTTAAACCAATTAAGTAACTCCATTCTAAATATTTAATTATATATTCATACCATTTCTAATCCTCCTTTTACTCTTTATATGGCTACAATAATTTAAATAAAAGCATATTTTTCATTATGTTATCTCTCTTCTTCTTCTTCATCATAATCATCATCATCATCATTATTAAATGGAGTTTCATCATCATCCCAATATTAATTATCTCTAACAGCTGCTTTTCTTTATCTATTCTATCTCTAAGATAAATAAGCTATAAATTTATTCCTTATCTCTACAATAACTACCATAGCTTTATCCAATTAATCTTAATTATAATTAAAAAATGATTATTCTGCTTCTCTTAACTCCATATATCTAGTTTCTTAATGATCTAATTCTTATCTCATCTTATTTTTCTAATGGAATCTATGAATTATCAAATCATAACGAGGTTATTTTCTTGCTCTTGTTATTTATATATCTCTCTATATATATTGTGTTTTATTCAATTACTAATTTACGATTCAATTCTTCATCATTATTCTTTAATTCTTTTATCTCTTAATTACATATCTCTTGTGATTATTTGAACTGTTATACTCCCTCTTCTAATCTTCTATCTACATTATTATAAAAATTTGCTATGTCTCTTATTATTTTCTCAACTGGATCATTCATTTAGATTTTCTCTAAAAAAGATCGACCAAATTCACTTTGTCTCATCTACTTATTTATTAACATTTTACTTCTTTTATTGTACTTTCTAAATCAGAACACATTACGCCTATCAATAGTAAAACAAATAAGAATTGGTTCATTATTATTATTATTATAAAAACGATTAAAAATGAATGTTTTAGTTGGTAAGTTTTAATTTAATTCACGATTTTGTCTTGGAGAAGGTGCTTATGGAAAAGTATTCTTAGGATAAGATACTGAAAATAATGAACAAGTTGCTATCAAATAAATAGATACCAAGTTTATTGAATAATAAGACAAGTATATTAAATAATAGATTATTAATGAAATTGAAATACTTAAAAAATGCAATCATCCCAACATTGTTAGATTTATTGATTTAATTGATACTCCTAAATATATTTACATTATTATAGAATATTGTAAGGATGGAGATCTTAAAGAACTTTTGAATTAAAAAAGATTAAGTGAACTTGAATCATTTGAAGTACTTAGATAAATTGTAGAAGGATTTAAAGAATTATAAAAACATAGTATAATACATAGAGATTTAAAACCAGCTAATATTTTAATAAATAATGGTATTTTTAAAATAGCTGATTTTGGATTTGCTAAAATAGTTAATAATTATTCAAGCACAAATATGCTTAAATCTTTAGTGGGATCTCCATATTATATGGCACCTTAATTACTTGGATATTAACAATACTGTTTCAAATGTGATATTTGGTCATTGGCAGTAATATATTTTGAAATGATTTTTGGAAATCTTCCTTGGTTAGCAAGTGATCCATAATCATTATTGAAAAAGATTTTAAATCAACCTATTATAGAAAAATTAAAATAGGGGAAAATTAGTTAATTTAGTATGTTTTTTTTAGAAAAAACATTAACTATTGATGAATTTAGAAGACCTAATTGGTAAGAAGTAGTTTAGATGATTAATTCCTCACCATTGATGAAAGCGGATAAAAACTCTATTCCATAACCATAATCTTAGAGTAAAACTAATCTTTTAGAAGTAAGTGCTTCATGTGATACTAAATCAAATATCAATTCAATTTAACCAGAATAATAAAAGAAAAGATAAGAAATTATTTTCAAACATTATTTATGTTAAGAAATACTTGTTAATAAATAGGAAATATTATAATTTTGTGATGGGAATAATGTGTTATTGAAATTAGCATTTTGTTTATCTAAATGGGTTTTAGTATTAAGTTAATAGTTATTGAAAGAATTACCAGAATTGAAAAGAGAACATGAATTTTATGTACAATTTATGCATGATATTGAAGAATTGAGATTATCTTGTGATTTTAGTATTGATAGAGCACCTTAAATTTGTTAAGATTATTGTATAGAATATTTAACTATTGCTTAAAAGAATTTGTAAAATATGAGTGAGACTTATTTATTGGTTTTGACTGAATATTTAATAAATTTTACAAGAGTATTAAGAGATGGAAAGGATTCCCCTATTGATTTTGAAGAATTAGCTTAGAGTAAATTGAATGACTACGACTTTTAATTATATCATGATATTTTAAGAACAAATTTGAATGCAATAGTTATTTGATTTGATTTGATAATAATAATTATTATAATTATAATAATAAATGTCGTAACTTCTAATGGTATGGTTAAATGATGAAGTTCAATTGAGTAAGAAGGTAACATCATTTGAACATGATTTTAATAATGGATATCTATTTGGTGAATTATTGAGTAAATTCAATCAATAACTAAATTTTGATGAATTCTCGAATAAGTAATAAAATAAGGTAATTAGATAGAGATGTTCGAGAAGCAAAAATGAAAAATTTTTAATTACTTGAACCAACATTTAAGACATTGAGGATTTAATTTAATTTTTAGATAGCAGATTAAGTATTAAAAGGAAAGAAGGGAGTGGCAATGTAATTGTTATATCAATTATAGATGGTAAGAGAGATTTGATATTGTTAGTAATTATAAAAAGTTAATGATCCACATGATGTAATGATGCAAGCAAAAACAGGAAAATATAATGTGATTTAACCTTTGATGATAATTAAATAACCAAAAGAATAATTTGATAAAATGGAATAGGATTTTTTTATGTAAAATTTAAATGAAAGAAATAAGGCTTAAAAGTAAGTTAATTTAGAGAAGCATTTGGGGAAATTTACAACATTTGCAATTTAATAGGCAGAAAAAGAGAGGAGATTAAAAATAAAAGAGGAAACAGAAGAAAGAAATTTAAAAGAAGAAATGCGTAAGATTCAATTAAATAAATTATAAAGAAATATGGCATTTATGGAAGATTGGAATTAAAAAGGGATAGAGAATTGGAAGAAAAATTAATAGATAAGACATAAAAATAAAGTAAATGATGATAAATTTAAATCAACTATGTAGAAAATGGCAGAAGAAAGATTAGTGTAGACTTAATAATTTTTAAAAAGTGAAATGGAAGAATAAATAGAATAATTTGAGAAAAGATAAGGAGAAGAACCAGTTAGTTTAGGTTTGAGAAATAAGATGATGAATGAATTTTTAAGAAAAGAAAGAGACAAAAGAAGAAGAAAGATGATTGTTGATTAAGAAAAGTAGACAGATGAATTATAGAGAAGAGAATATTGTGTAGTAGAAAAATTAAAATAATAAAGTAAATAAGAAAAAGAAATTATGTATGAAATTTGGAGAGCATTTTAATGTTAATAGATTATTTGTGAAAATAGAATATTAAGAGATGAAAATTATAAAAATAAATAAGAATTAAATGTTATTAATTAAAAATTTAAAGAAGAAGAAATGTTGAGAGCATTATAATCAGAATTTAATCAAGAAGTTGAATTATAATAGAAAAGATAATTAGAAATTAATGTTGAATATAAATTACATATTAGATAATAGAATTATTAAAGATGTAGAAAGTTAGTTGAAATACTATTTGAAATTGAAGAATAAGTGTATGAACATTTATAAAATCATGATTCTAATTAAATTAATTAATAATTCACTAGAGAAAATAATCATTTATTTGAGTATGGAATGGATCTTATACCATATAAGAGATTTAGTACATATGATCCAATTAAAGAAATGAAAAAATAAGAAACTTAAAATTATAAATTAAAAATATTTCTTGCTTAAATGGAAATGTAAGATTATTTATAAGGTACTGGAGCATGGAATATTTATTAAGCTTAGAATAATTATACATTTGGAAATTTAGTCAGATATTTAATAGAAAGTTAATTTGAAATTACAAATACATAATCTCAAGAATTAAATATACCTTATGTACCATTCAGAGGAAGTTTAATAGGATTTTCATTTAGTGGGAAAAAAACAATAAGTGAATTATTAAGTAAGAAATATGGAATTACATTATTATGTGTTGATGTTATTATAAATGAATTGTTATAATACATAAGCAAATATGAAGAAGGTTAAGAACATTCTTAAGTATGGGATTAATAATAAATTGAATTGGGTCAATCTATATCTAATTATCTTTTACAAGGTGAAAACATTCCTGATGAGTTATATATAAAAGCCATAGTTTAGAAGATTAAAAGATCTTTCTCATTATAAACATTTGAAGAAATTTATGAAGAATAAAAAGAGAAGTCTCAAAATCACAATCCAAAACCTATTAAAAATATTGATGATTTTAATGATGATGGAATTAATTGGGAAGATTTTCATAGAAATAATATGATTAATAATAAACCTTATTGTAAAGGTTGGCTTTTAGTAGGTTTTCCTTAAACTTATGATCAAGCTAAATTATTGGAAAAATATTTGACCAATATATAACCATAAGATGAACCTACACCATTATAAGCCAGACTTTAAGAAGCTGCAAAGATTGTTAAACCAAATGAATATAAGATAGTTCCAAGGACGAAATAAGAAAGTGGTGTTGGATTATGTGTTTATTTAGAAATGCCATCAAATGAAATGTGTCTCAGAAGAGCTATTGGAAGAAGATATGATAATCATAATCATTCTTTATATCATTTAGATTCTAATCCTCCTCCTGTTGATAATGCTCCTCTTATAGAAAGAATTTAACCATTATATGAAATAGATAATCTTTAATCATAAATTTCAGATAAAAATTCATATTTTATGACATAAATTTAAGGACTTTAAAATTGGTACAATAGTTTCGAATCAAAATCTGGTTTAAATGTTTAAAATACATTTGTTAGTGTTGATGCATCTAATAATTATGAGAGAGTATTCTATGATGTTGACTAAATATTCCAAAACTTATTATAAATTTAAATAAATAATATTTAATAGAAATTTGACGATTAATAAAATAAAATTGTGAAACAAGAAGAATCACTTAAATAATAATAGGAATAAGAAGAATTAGATAAGAAATGTTAATATAAGTAAATAACATTAGATACATTACCTATCAAACAGCCAAATTCTGAACTTTTAAAATATTTAAATACATTTTGGAATGTTATTGAAAATAAATATATATCACTTTAGATTATATTCAAGGGGTTTAGAGAATAAAGAGAATTCATAACTAATTATTAAATGGATATTCAACGTAAATTTATTGAATTAATTAATGTACCAGATGAAAAGTTCTTTTTTATTAGAACTTTTTAAGAATAATATAATGAGTTTATTTTGGAGAATCCTGATTTATGTGAAGAAGAAATTTGTAAAGAGGAATTACATTAAAGGGTTGATGATTTATATGATTAATTGATTGATATAATTGATTAAAAGAGAGATGATTTAATTGTAGAAAAAACATAAATTTAAACATCATAATTTATAGAGAATGAAATAGATCTATATCTATAATAATTGAAATAAATGTTAGCTATAGAATTAGATCGAGCTATTAATTCAATTTAATTATTAAATGATTATTATGGAACATTAGAAGGAATAGAATTATAAGAGATATAGCCAATGATTGGAGAATTATAAATAATTGATGGAGATGATCCATAAATTAGATTAGATAAATTAATAGCAGATACTTTACGAATATTTGCTGGAGAAGAAGAAATAATAGAAGATAAAACAAAAAAAGGAGGTAAATAACCAGCAAAAAAAGAAGAAAAAAAAGGAAAGAAAGGAAAGGAAGAAGAAATAGTAAAAAAAGAATTATAAAATACAGAAGGAATTAATGCTATAAATTTAGAGAAATAAATATTTAAAGAAAGAGTTGATGTAATTAAAAGATATGCTTCTTAAACAATTAGATAATATAAATAATCTGCTGATCTTTTATATGCTAAATTAGATGAATGGATTCATTATACACATTTAACTGAAATAAAAGCATTAGATGCAATTTCTAATTTATTTAGAGGATACATAGAAAGAGGTGAGAGAATTTAAAAAGAACTTTAATTATAATTTGTTGATATAATAATTAGTCATGAAGTATTAAATTTTTTAACTCCAATTCCACCTCCTTTAGCAGCCAGAGAACCATTATCTAATGATAGATTTTCTATTTCTTAATTATATTATTTAATTGAAGATTTGAGAGCTATAACTAGTACTCACTTACTTATAGATATTAAATAATTAGCACTACTATTAGCTAGATCATCTTATGGAGTTCTCAAATTTACTCCTGCTTAATGGATGAAAGCTCTCAAAATACTTGATTAAAATGGGTATTAAATCTTATCTTATATTTTATAGTTATGTTAATGTCAGATAAATTTGTACTTATCTAATCTTACTCTAATCACCTACACCAAAACAAGAAGAACTATAAATTTATTAAACTTAATTAAATGGCTTACTAGTCAATAAAGAACATTTTGTAAATACTCCAACATGGTTTGATGAATTCGAAAAAGTCTCAGAAGAAGAAAGTATTTATATATAATATTTATTATCTAGACACTAATTATTTTGATAGAATTATTTATATCAAAGAACTTCTATTCTTTGTTCATAAAGATGAAAATGATTAATTAGCTACCAAATATTATCTCGACATTTTAAATGTTTAAGGAGATAGATACATTGATTTTTTGTTTTAAAATCTATAAGAATTGTGATATTTTCATTTAAATTATATTTTATATCATAATTATTTGCTTTATTCAAATAAGATATTCTATTCTATCTATACTAAATATTTTATTATTTTTTTATAATTTAAATTTACTTTTAAGGAATCTAATCTATATATTAAGTAATCATATTATACTTAGTTTTTTATTCCACTTTTTAAATCACTTCTATTAATTATATTATATTATTGATAATAATCAAAACTTTCAAAATCAATTAACAATCCCAGTTACTAAAATTTCACCATTGCTATCAACACTATATTCCTAGTTCCATTGAATTGACTATGAAGAGGAAGAAGATTCAAAATCTAAACTGAAAGGCTCTAAAGAATTTATAATTATTGAAATTTATGATTTTGATTCCTATCTTATTGGTGAATAATCAAGCATAACAATGTCTTATTAAATTGCTTATAGTTTTTCTTTCTTTTTTACTATCATGCTTTATAATAATTGTGAATATGGTTCTTATTCATTTTCTAAAGTTATTGAAGGAGGTGGATTTTTAGATTAAAACAATGAATGATGAGATTCTTCAGATATAGACTTTCCATTTTACTATTCAATATCTTAATTCACTTCAATCTTAATCTATTCTTCCACCTATACTTCTTACTTATACTTATATTACAAATCAAGATCGTTTACTAATATATCGCCATATCAAAGATACTAATATCCTAAATCAACTCTATTACTATGTTTAGGTTATTAAAGTTATTGCTCATCATCTCTACTATTATTTAATCAGTTTATATTTATTTTTGTTCCCTTTTATTAATTTACGAACTTGAACACATTAGTCCCATTCTATAAATTATTAATAATTTATAAAAGAAAATAATTAAATTTTTTAATGTAATAACAACATTACTATACAGCTGAACAACTTACTTATTTAATTGATAATCTAGAATTAGGACACAACACTGATCATCTTAAGAAATTGGCAGAAAGAAAAATGATTAGATAATCGAATACATAATATAAATTATAAGATGATATCATAAGAGAATAATATCAATAATCTCATTAATATTAAGAAAAGATTTTAAATACTTATAGGTTATTATAAGCATTTGATAATCCAAATATTAGTAAACTTCTTTTTGAACAATTTGATGATGAATTTTTGATTAGTAAGATTTAATTTACTATTTTTAGTTTAAAACACAGCTGATTAATGCATAGAATGGTTTTATAGAACAGATAACTAATAATATTTTAAAGTGATACTTGAAATATTTAATATACAAAATGATTTTTAAGAAGCTGTTTAGAAGAAAATAGTCAAAGATATCAAAGCTAATCATGCAAAAGTTTATGTTGTGATAAAGAATTTAACATCAATTTTAGAAGAATCTTTTTTAATTTCAATATATTAGAATCTTGTTTTAAATTATAGTTTTTGCTATATTTATGATTTCAAAAATGTTGATACTATTATTCGTTCAATTTATGAATTAACTGATTAAAAAATTTAAAATGTTGAATCTTAATATATGGAAGCCTTGTATGAATAGAGGATTTTAGTATTTTAAGAGCTTTTTAATTTAGATAAAGAGTAACTAGAGAATTGGTAAATAAAAATAAACTATTTTTAGTCTAAAATATTCTAAAATATATTTGACACCTAAATTATAATTTAATCATATGTTTTAAGAACGAATAAACAAAGATTTTAACGTTTAATAAATAAATATAATAGAATGTTTACAATAAGAAATTATATTATCTCTTCCTCACATTCTAAAACATAGTTTAGTTGAATAATTTATAGGAACAATAATCTTAAACTAAAAAGTTTTAGTACAATATATTATTAATTTATATTTGGATAAGTTAATTAAAGATTAAAATTCTAAATTTGTATAATGCCTACTAAATTTGATATCTAACCCTGAATTAAAATCACTATATTATTAGAATAATAAAAAAAAACCATTGATGAGAGAAACATTAAATTAATGCATAGAAGACATTTTTCAAAACTCACTAAATAATCAAGATTTAATTAAATAAGTTATAAAGTGTATGTATGATTTGTATAAGAATGGATTAATGGCTAGAAATTAATTATTGGTGTATATAAAATAATTGATAAAATAATTGTGCAATCAACATGCAAGTAAATAGATCAACATAAGAGAAAATTAAATATTTTCTGGATTAACAAATATCTCAAATGTTATAGAAAGTTCAAATAAGGTGAAAGATCATGAAATCATAAGCTTAGAGAGAGTACTTAAAAGAATCATTTATTAATATCAATTTAATTGGTTTGATATTGAAAACCTTATTACATTTGAAAGTTTAAGTTTGATTGTTAAATTGATTACGATGTATGATGATAAATATTGAATTGTAAAATACAAAAAAAACTATAAATCATTATTATTGTTAACGAAAAGAATAATAAACTTTTTTTTAAGTTTATACAACTTTATTAAGTTCATCTAATTGCTAAATTAATTCACCCTTTTCTGCATGGAGATTCTAAATATTGTTTTTTAATTCATCAATTACTTATCTCAATTATTCTAATTATAATTAATATTATTAATCTCTTTCTTAATCCTTTTTGATTAATTATTTAATTTGAGAATCAGTATCTTAATGTATTATTTTTTACTATTCTTCATTATTAAGGATTTTATCTGATTAAATTAATTTATTTAATTTTTTATTTACAATTTCGACAATAGTATTATATTTAATATCTATTTATTTTAATATTTTATTTTAGTTTTCAATTTATTTAGCTTCACTATCTTATATTAGTTTAATTATATCTTTTTTATCTTAGATTCTTTACTATTAGACTTCATTCAATTATTTTTATAGTTTATTAATTTACTTAATTTATTATTTGATTAGTGTATCCATTTCATTCTACTAAGATGAAGTTGATTAAAATTATTAATTAATTTATTATTCTTGTTTTCTTATTTAATATTCAAGACTCTTAATTTTTATTTCTTGAGCCTCTAAAAGTTTTTAACTTCTATTAATGGCAATATCAATTTCTTTTTTATATTATTCCTATTCTAGTAATCTCAATTATGTAATATGTTCTAATTCTTTTGAACTATTAGATTAGATTGCTGGACATTCTTATTTTTCTTTTATGATTTCTAAGATTTGCGTATAAATTGTATTATTTTGATATGTTTATTCTCTTAATTTAGTTAACTGTTGTAATTCTTTATGGAATAAATCTAATAAATCATCAACTCTTTTATTTGGACTAGTAATAATACCTTCCAATTAATCTAGTGCTTCAAATAATATAATAGTCTGCTACTTATATTCCTAAGAATTTAAAATTTATTTGCTAACATCAATAATTAATTCTTTAAGATCTTCATTTTATTTTATTAATTATTAATTTTTTAATAAATCTTTGCAAATAGTTTCTAGTTTTTCCAAACTTTTAATTTACTTTGGCTATTTTGATTTAGTTTAAACCAACTTTGAAAGTAAATCTTTACATTCTTTAATATGTTCATTACCTTTTCTATTTTTTAATTCTAAGGCAATTTATTATGTGATGTTTCTAAAGTTATCAAGCAATGATTAAAGTTCTTCACTATTAAATTTATAAAAGTTTTCTCTTGACTCATAATTTTTCTCAATTTATTCAATATATAGTTTAATTTTATGTAAATCCTAAATATAATGTTTTTCTCTGATTTCAATTTACTAAGTCAAATATTCACATTTATCTTCATTTCTTTAAATCTCTTATTTTAGTGTTTTTTCTCTAAGTAAAGATAATTATTTAATATCTTCTGTTGCTTATTTCAATTAATCATTTTCTGCTTTAAGATAGATAGTTTAATCATCCTATTAATTATTCTCTATTTTATTAATTTATGACGATTAAACAGATTTTACTTATTATACCTATGCAATTTATGAAACATTTTAAATAGGTCTAAGATTTTCTATTTGTTATGTCAAGATTTCTTCTATCTTTTGATAACTTCCATTAAATAATTTAAGCTATTTAATTTCAGTTTAGTATTTAGATATTTCTTTAAGTGTAGTTTATAATTGTAATATAACATCATTTTAAATTTGTTAATCCAATTTGATTCTCTTATTTAATTAAGTATTAAGTAATTATTTTTCTTCAATATGTTTTTAGTTTAATTGTTATTTTTAATTGATTTAAATTTCTAATTCTCGTTTATATTAAACTAATTCTGACATTTGTTATTTTTGCCATGATGATAAGAAATCATAAAGAATGTTGATTTATTAAATATACTTTTCTTCTTATGTATAATTATTCAATGCTTTTGATAATGGTTAGAATTATTTCAATTCTTCTTATAACAATTAATTTTCATTCTATAATTATGTTATTCTTTAATTATATTGATTTTAGATATCTTAGATAGTTTTAGTTTATTATAATTCAATTTCTGATTCCATTGATTAAATCTTTTAGGTGAGCTATTCTTTTTATTATAACAATTATTTGATAATATTTTTGCTTTCTTCTAATTAATTAGTACATTCCAATAATTATTATTTATACATAGGAGGTGTTTATTATTTTTAAGTTTGCAATTCTAATTCTCTTATTTTTTGTTTTTATTCTAAGATAATTTACTATAGCATAATTTCTCTTTTACCTTAATTAGATTAATACTCAAAGCTGTTATTATTTTACATAATATAAATATTTTAAGTAAATTATTATTGTTTTAATTAATTCATTGTTTAAATTCAAAATATTCTCTATTAATATTTTGTGATATATTTGATTTTAAATTAATTACACAAGCATCTTCATCTATTTTTTCTTCAAGAGGTAAATTATATTCAACTTCATTTAATAATACACAATCTTCTTCTACACTTTTCTAAATAATAGTATTAGTATCTGGACAATAAATGATATCGGATCCTAGATTTACTTTGTAGTTCTTTTAAACAAATACTTGTATATCTTTATTAATTTTTTTAAATTATTACAATTTTTATTTTATTCAAAATTATTTGGAAATTCTTCTGCTGCTCTATATATTAAATGATCTAAATCTGAATTAATATATGTTAATTCATTTGTCATCTAATCTAATTCCAATAGTAAAAAGTCTAATTTACTACTAATTCTATTTGTCATTACACTAAATGCCACCTTACTAACTATTTATTCTGCAATTATTCCACCTATCTAATTAATTTAATTCTAATTTTTACAAATAAACCTAAATTTAAATTACTCAATTTTGCTACTGCAGCACCTCCATTAAATAAGAATTATTTTAAAAAGGATTTCCCTGATTCAAAAAATGAATTATTCTTTATTAATCCAGTTGCACAAAACTCTTTTATTTTCTCAGTTGCAATATCTTAAACATTTAAAATAAATCCTCTCATCTATTTGTTTAAATATATATTATTTATACTATTTTATCTAAATATTTCTAATACAAAGTTTAATCTTTCTACCATGTTTGAAATTATTAAACATTATATTCTACAAATTTATATGTATGTATTCTTCTTAATAAATCATAAGCATATTCAACTTAAGTTTGATAAAAAGAAAGATGAACTGTTATTGTATCCACTTATTTTTCTAAATTAATACTTTTATAATTCTATTACTTAAATCGTTTTCAAATATTTTCTCTAACTTTTTAACATCAATCTCATATTTAACATTTAACTTTAAATCTTAATATGTAAGTTTCCTTCCATATGCTTCTCTAACCTTTTCCAAATATTTTTAAAATAATTATTTATCTATCTGTTTCACAAATTCAAACCATTTATGAGATTCTACATTTTCATATATCACATCTCTCCATAATGAAAAACTATTTGGTGCAAAAGGTGCTTAAATCAATTCATAATTTAAACAAGCCTCCGATTTCTCCATAAATTTTACAATATTCTCAAAATTCATTATATTAATTATAGAATATAATATTGTTGTTCTTTCTTTAGATATACTTCAAATAATTGTTTTATAAATCACTATATCTCCTTTTACTTAATGATGTATCTTTAATCCTAATTTTGATTAATTTCATATCTTATTCATTTCATATCTGTTTTATTTAATATATTTGCCTTAATAAAGTATCTTTAAAGAATTTCTTAAATTTTTTGCATTCTTCCAAAATTATATTTTGTAAAATAATCATATATATAAATATAAAATTCACTTCTTTATTTATTTAAATATTTTAACATAGTCAACCAGCAAAATTGAATTTAATATTTACATAAAAAAAATATCTCATTCACTCCACTTCCTCATCTATCTCCTTATGTTTTCTCATATATAATCTGACTAATTATTTTGTTTTCAGTAATTTTACATAAGTTATCTTACCATTAGGTTTTTAAGGATTGAACTTTTAATGATGAGATCTAATCTTATTGTATTTAATATTACCTGCATTAACTAGGTGTTCTTGTTCCTATTATTTGGCTCATTCTTTTAAATAGCCTTTGGCCCTTATTATGATTAGTATTTTCTTATAAAAAACGAAGATATTATAAATGTTCCTCTTGATTCCAATGTCCAAACTTCTTTTATATCTTTTTCGAACTCTAGTATAAATCACATTAAGATTTCGTAACTTCTGAATCGATTTATGGCATTACTTTGTTATTTAAATTAAATATATATTCCAAGATTTTATTAGTATTTAAATCATTAAATAACCATTTAATCTCATCATCTTTTTATTTCAAATTTCTCATTCTCATTTTCTTCAACATATTCTTATTTTATCATAATAATTTTATTTTTAATTCCAATTTCTAAATATTTTTATTCATTCTTAAATTCTTAATTACATAATCAAATATTAATTAACCAAAGATCAATATATTTATTTAGATCATTAAATAAATAAAGTTGTCTAATTTATTTTATATTTATTTATCAATATCTTCAGAAACTTATTACCAAAATAAAATCCAATTTTTTTATTCATAAAATAAGAGTTATCAAAATGAATTGACTATTTTTAATATTAATTATTATTTCACTTTGTAAAACTAATACAATTATGGATTTCTCTTTCCTCATTATGTTAGTAATACTCTAATTTGATTTTATCTATAATGAAAGATTTTAATTACTATTATATAATTAAAAATCTAGTATAATCATACAAATATATTTCTATATAAAATATTAATTTACAACTTGGGTATCATATTAATAGCCTTATTTTGCTGAACTTTATATATAAAATACATTTATAACAAAAAAAAATAATCATTATGGATTAAATAATTTCAAAAAAAATGATGATAAAATATATTGAATTTTATAATCCAATAATTACTTTTTGGATTCTTAAATAAATTAATACAAATAATTTATTGTACAAAGCCTTAGAGGAATATTTGATAAATTTTATTTTAAGAGATTTGCCTACTATGGTATGATGTAATAAATAAATAACAATTAACAACTTTAGAAAGGATTAGTATGATTTTTCATTTTTAACAAAAATAAAATTTAGAAATATATATAAATAATAGGATTTATCAATTTTATTTATCATAAAATTTAATACAGATCATATTAATAATTGAAATTAACTTATTAAAAAATTTTAAATTCAATAGAGAAGAGGAATTTAACAAATAAAAACAAAAAGTGTATATTAATTTAATTTATGTAAAGATAAGACTTATAATTCACTAAATAGAAAGAGAACAAAAATAAAATCAACTCATGAGAACTTTGAAAAATGATAATCTTTATTTATATAAATTAGTAGAGGAATAATAGTATCAATAATAGTTTGGTACATTGATCCAAATTAATTATTTTCTTTTCTGCTTCAATAAACTAAAAGTATATGTCTAATGAAACAACTGGTTTTTTTGGCAATTGAAAAAAATAAATAAAAAGTAAATTAATAAAAAAATAAACTGAATAGTATTCTAAATTTAATTATGAATCTAAGTAGCTATTTAATGAATAAATTCATTAATAATTGAATTGCATAATTAGATTAAATTGAAAATTCAGTAGAGGGATATTTGAATAAAGCAAATAATTAATTAAATAATTAGAATTATTTTTGTAATGTTATTATAGAAAGTATGTCTTGAGAATAAATGATAAATAGATAAAATAATTGTAATTGATGTAGTAAAGATTGAAGAGTTAGTAAGAATAAGTAAATATTTGAAATAAAATTTTATGTGATTATAATTTTAATATTTTATAATGGGTACTATACCGTGTTTGAAAAAGAAGAAGAAAGATATTTTAAGGATTGGTCATAAATAATAATTAAGTGATAAGAGCATAAGAGTAAGTGATGTTCAAATATGAGAGTTAGAGAATTAGAATTATGTAGAGTAAATAGTAGAGGATTAAGTAGAGGAGGAAGAATAAGTATATAGAATAAATAATGATAGAACATAGTATATGATTATATTTAAGGGGATTTAATTTAGGAAGGATGTAAAGTATATTGTGCATTGAATACATTGAATGGTTAACTTTTAGCATTAAAAATTGTATAGAATTATATGAGATTAGTTTAAATTAAGTAATTAAGATGATTTTAATACTATTATTAATTTTGTTGATGTACTTACAAGATTAGAGTGTAATAATATTCATAAAATAATTGGATGGGATTATTCAATTGAGAATAATGAAATAATTTAAGATGAAATAAGAATATTAATGCCATATGAGAGTGGAGGTTCAATAAGTTGGTTGTTATATAAATTTAATTCATTTTCTACTCAATTAGCTATAATGTTTATGAAATAAATACTTTAAGGATTAGAATCTTTACACAATTCTGGTATTCTACATAGGTATTATATTCATATTTTATAAGGAATTTGAAAACTTCTAATGTTTTAGTTGATGGTGATGCAAATGCAAAGTTGAGTGATATTTACGTATTAAAAGATTTCAAATTGTCATTCTATAGTGCACCTGAATGTTTTACTAATTACAATTATTGTGAATAATCTGATGTTTGGAGTGCTGGTTGTATCTTTATTGAGATGTTGACTAGAAAATCTCCATGGAATCATTTATCTTAAAATATTACACTTCATTAAATTAAAATGTGTTTTGATAAAGGAGGTAGATTTTTATTAGTTATTTAAAATAGAATTATTTCCATATTCATAAATAACTAATAATTTAGATATATTATAAATATTTAATGATATATTTAAAATTAATCCAAGAGAAAGATTAAAACCTTCAGAATTATTAGATCATTCTGTTTTTAGAAGTTATTTCATATTTATATTATTTAGACTTAGAAACTGAACCTTTAAAATCAGTTATTGTATCTACTAGAAGATAGTTGCAAAATAGATATGATGATAGAAAATCATATAAAATTTAAAATAGTAATGTTTCTAATTCAAGTTTACGATATTCTATAAGAAGAAGTCATCATCCTGATTCTAGTAAGTATCAATAAGTTTTATAATAATTGAAATCTATTCATGTAGATTTTAAGAATGTGAATAATCTTATGGATAATTAATAATTATCGTATATTGATATTTAAAATGTCTTATCAACTAAGATTTAATTGGAAACTAAAATTAAAGAAAAAGGCATTCAGTAAGTTAATAAAGAAATTATAGGTAATCGATAATTTAGACCTAAAGAAATATCTTCATTAAATAGATATATATAACCTAATTAGTATTCTTTTACTAAATAGCATCAATAAAGAATTTTGAGTTTGCACAAATCATTAAATAGTAGTCTTGATAAAATTTAAACAATTAGATCAGTTGATCCTGCTATTATTATAAATGGACAAAAAAAATAAGTATAAGAAATTGAAAATCTTGAAAAAATAATAATTTAATAATTCTACTAGAAATAAATTAATGAAAATCATTCCAAAAATAATTTGAATGATATTGAAAAAATGATGATACAATAATTTTAATCATCTCTTTTTAAATAATCATCAATTGTTGAATAAAATATTTAGAATTCAATTTAATAACCTATTGAAGCAAATTCAGAAATTTTAGATTAATAAACTCCTAATTATTTGGAAAAGCTAATGTAAGATTAATTTAATTAAGATAATGAATCTGGAATAGATGAATTATAATAATTGGAAGATTTGATAAAGTAATAGTTTTATAAAGATTATAATAAAAAAAGTGTGATTAATAATTTAGAATAAAAGATGGAATAGTAAATGATTTAAGAGAATATATCAATAGTTGGTAATTGTTATATATTATATATAGCATTTGATTAAATAATATAATCTCCAAAAATAAACAGTGATTTGATAATAGATGATGATTTTCTGGTGAATCTATGATGATATTGATATTTGTAAATAATGTAATGTAATTATAAATGGATAGATATATTAATATATAAATATAATATTAATTAATCTTAAAAGAGTGTAATAAAAAGATGTATTAAACAAAAATACAAATAAGAATGATCATCCCCACCAGATTGGTTTAGGTGCTTCTGAATATTATTTCTATTAATTTGATTCATGATTATTTGGTTTATTTAGATATAGATTTTAAATTTAAGAGGAAGAACTATTGATGTAAGGTATAGCATTTTAATGAATGACACTGATTTTAAGATTTTGTTATTTTTCAAGTAATTTTTTTTATCTAATTCTTTCCTATTCAAGCATTTAGACTGAATTAGCAATAGATTTAGATCTATCTTCATGTAATGAATTGATTTATGCATGTTATTATTATTATTATTATTATTATTATTATTGATATCTATCACTTTTTAAGGGTGGAACAGAACAATTAGATCTAATTTCTTTTTAATTATGAATTTTTGGTAGATAGGTACTATTAACTTAAGATTCATCATAAGATTTATTAGCACTTTCAATAAGATATTTAGATTTAGGTAATTTTTCTTTAAGTTATTTTAAATTTTTAGGTAATTTAATAGTTTATAAAAGGATATTAGATCCAGCTTATGATGATTAAGTTTATTAAGAGATTCTACTTTCAGTAATGAATTATCTAGCATTTCTTAATAGAATAGGATTATTAAGTAATTAATTACAGGAAGGTCTAGATTTACTTTATACTTATAAGCATAATCCAATAATGGTCATTAATTCTCCACTAAATTTAGATGGTATTCTTTCAAATAAACCTCTTTAGACTCTTTTATATAATCCTTCCATATTTTAAGCTCTAAATGGAGGTTTAAGTGTAGCCATTTCATATGCAACACAACCTAAACTCCATATATCGCTTTTAGCATCATATGGTTAATCTCTCCAAACTTCAGGACTTGCATAATATGGAGTTCCTGTTTAAGTATATACTAAATCTTTCTTAGCTACTTTAGAAACATTCATATCTCCCAATTTATAATTGCTTTGGTGTAAAAATACATTAGCTGACTTTAAATCTCGATGTAAAATTTTCATTTAATGTAACGTTCGTAAAGCTATTCAATATATATACAATTAATATATACCTAATACAACCTAATATATCATTTTCCAAATTTCTATTTCTTGAAAGTATTACTTATGTTGTATATGCTATTAGATATGTTATTATAAATCTCCTTAATCTGCATATTCCATTACAATGCATAAACATTATGATTATTCTTCATAAAATGCTTCTTTATAACCAATAATATTAGGATGTTAGATGCTAGCCAGGATTCTAATTTCATTTAAAGAGTTCTCTTTCTCTTTCTCTTTCAATTATCCCATTCTTACTTTCTTCATTGCATATTCCTATTAATCTGATTATCTCTTCACTTTTAATACTGTAGAAAATGATCCTTAATATATGTTACTTAGTATTTACCTTCTCCTAATTTCTCAAAAACTATAAAGTTTTTCATCATTATAATTTTAATAAAATGGATAATGCTAAAACTTCACTTTTAGAAATGGGATTTACAGAAGAGTAAATTACAAATGCAATTAATTCAACCAATTCTTATGATATTGGAGTATATATATATAATTATTATAGGTATTACTTACATACATTGAAAATTAATCATAAGATAATCCATAAACACAAACATAATCATAATAATAATAATAACTTGATTCTATTAGTAAATATGTTAATGAAGAACATGTTGCTATTTTAATGTCATAAGGTTATTCTAAAAATGTATCTGAAAAATCATTATTATTATCTAATAATTAAGGTGTTGATGCTGCTATTAAATGGATTGAAGAACATAAAAATGATTAAGATTTTGAAGAAGAATTATAAATTGTTGGTTCTGGAAAAAAGATATCACCTGAAGAAGCTGCTTTTAAAGCAAGAGAACTTTAATAGAAACTTCGAGAAAAAAGAAGAATTGCTGAAGAATAAGCTGCTTTTGAATAAGAAAAAAATAGAATTGCTTCAGGAAAAGCTATGAATGATGTAAGAAGAGAATTAGAAGAATAAAAAAAGAAATAAGAAGCATTAAAAGCAAAAAGAGAAAGAGAATAATTCTTAAAAGATAAATAAGAAATGGAAGAATAATTAAGAAGAGAAAAAGAAGCTAGATTTGGAAAATCTTATACTTAATAATAATAATAATAATAACAAAAGAAATATTCACCTATTGAATTATTTGAATTAGGTATCAAATAAATTAAAGTTGCTTATCCACCTGATCTTATTCCTGATACTGCTTTTAATTCATTATCACTTATTCTTAAAATACTTGGTAATCTATTTTTTATAATTATTTTTAGAAAACATTTATAAAAATCCTTAAGAAGAAAAATTCAGAAAAATTTCATTAACTTCTTAAGCTTATTTAAATAAAATTGATGCAATCATAGGTGCTAGAACTGCTCTTGATGGATTAGGATTTATTTAAAATGATGGATTCTATGTCTTTTAAAATGTTGATGTTTCAATCTTATAAAAAGCCATAGCGATTGTTTAAAATGAATTAAAATGAAATGAGATATATCTATAATCATTTATTAAATAATTGGAATTTTCTTTTATTCATAGCATTAAAACAAGAATCGAAATATTTGTTATTAAGAAAATATTTTTTTTCTTCTTTTGCTTTTGTATATCGACAGGTATTTAAACATAATCCATTTAATTCACGTATTGTCAAACATATTAAACCTTACAACACTGATAATCAAACTCAATACTTCTCTTGGACTTTCTTTATGGTAAGTTATTACACGTTACTTTAGTTTCTAATATTAATTTTATGCTGCTTCTAATGGAGGTAAAGAAATTATTCTTTTTCTTGATCTTGTTGGGGATCTTGTAAATTATCTAGTTAAACTAGATTTCAATATTCTTCGATTTAAATCTATTGCTTGATTCTCTGTATCCATCATTATTATTATATATATATTTATTTATATAATTTTTTACACCATTTATTTAAAATTATTATTCTCAAAATCATATTAAATATTAATAATTATTTAATCATAAAATAGCCGTATTACATAAAGGACATTTTTTATTTTATGCTAACCAATCTCTTATACATTTTTTATGAAAGATATGTGTACTATGACAATTTAATTAAATTAATTAGTCTCCTATATTTTTTATCATTGGTTGCAAACAAATTATACAATCTTATTTCTCATCTTCTGTTTATAAAATATTATTCTTTAAAATATTTGATATACGAGGTAATTTTGACCTGCTTATTTAATTAATTCCATTCATCTAATCACTTTAAGGTCTAAGCATCATTTCTATTTAAAGTTATTCTGTTGATAATCTTATTTATTAATTTTCAACTGTTTAAAGTTATTGATCATCAACTTAATTTGATTGTTTAACAATATTATAGCTTTTATTAAAATGAGGAGATATCAAATATTTAAAAAGAGCAAATCCAAGCAATATTAATTAAAATATTGCACAATCATAAAATATAAAAATATCATGATTTATTATTTCATTTTATTCATCCATTCTGAATATACAAGTTCCTACAATTGTAAATATGAAAGATATTAATATTAATATTTAAAATACCTTTCTTGTATGCATATTTTTTATTATTGAATCTATTAATATTTAATGATTTATAAATAATGAACAATCACTTTAAGGAGGTCTCTTAACTAAATATTTTTAACATTTTATATATACTTGATGAAATATCATTAAATAATGTATTTATTATTGTTGCCATAAAAAAATGATAAAAAAGATTTGATCCTATTAGAACATATGAACTAGAATTAGGAGTTACAAAGATTGTGCATAATATCATCATTTTTGCAATATGATTGACGAGAAAAATAACACAAAAGGCTTTACTCCATCTAATTACTTTGAGAATATCTATTAAATTTTTTAAAAATATTACTTAAATTTAAATCATTATATTAATAAGAAGGTATAGGTTGATTTCTGCAATTGAAATAGATTATTAATATAATTTTCATGATTTCAAACATTAAAAAAATAAATGTTAAGACTGATAATAGAATGAATAAAGGCAATAACATTTATGGTTGAATTGATTTTTTATCATTGTTATTCATATTATGAGAGTTATCATCAAGATTTTAATTTTCTTCAAAGTAGAATTCATCTTGTGATAGTATAATTATCTTTTATATTAGTATACATATCGCAAATATAATATATAATTATGTTAATCTTATTATAGTAAACTTAGATTAGTTTGTATAGAAAAAGAAAAATGTAATTGAGGACTGGTAAATCTATTTATTCAATTACATCTCTTAAGGTATTTTTTTGAATCTTTCTTCCGCTTCAGAGAGTTAAAGTAATGTGTAAAAAGTGCATCCAAGAAGAACAGTTAGAAGAGGAATCAGTAAAATGCCTAAAATAAGTATTTATTAAGATTGTCTATTTTTATTCGCAACTACTATAGAAATTAGCAGACTTATCACTATTAAAAGCATTAAGGAATAAAGTAGAAATAAAATCGAGCGAAACTTAATAGGTTATTAAATTGATGCATATTCAACCTAATTGTTTATTTAATTTTCGAGTTAGCTTTATAAACTAAATAATTACTAATACCTACTTGTTTTACTAATTTTCCCTCAAATTACTAAGCATTTTTAAGCTAATTTTAAAATATTAATATAAAAAGAATATTAGTTAATAAGAAAGTTTTTATGACTTTCAAATAGAAAAATGATATAAGTCTTAATTAATGTTTTATTTTTTTAAAATTAAGTACATCATCTAATCATAATGATTGTAATAATTTAAATTGATCTTAAACAAACCTTAGTAATTAATGGTATAATTATCAAATCATAAATTATTGATATTTTAGAGATAAATATATAGAAACAGAATGTTGAATTAAGATTAATTTGTAGTAAGTTTATAATTTGAAAATGAACATAATATAATTGATTAATAAATTATGTATAAAATCAGTGTAAATTACGGAAGCTTTAAAAATATTTGATTAGTTAAATAATATATAATGAGAGTAAAAAAAGTTAGAAAGTATTAAGATAGTTCAAGTAAGTGAATGGTAAAATAGTTGATAAAAGAAAGTGATTAATTAGAGATTGTAATATATATAATGTAAAAAATGAAAAGTGGAAAAACGATTATTAATATAATATAAATATGTACAAATCAGTTCTTATATGCGCATTGTTATTAACAGCATATGCTGGACATGTGAGAAAAACACATGGTGCAGTTCATCAGAAGAAGAGAGCATTCAATAGTGCATTTTTTGAATTTGTAAATTTAGGAGAGAGTGATTACCATTTGAATGCAAAGGAAGCTTGTATAAAAATTAATAAATTGAATAGAACATTGGGCTTAAATAACTTAAGATGGAATAGAGAAAGAGACAAAGAAACATAAGTCATTAGTTGAAACTCATAGTGAATATATTCCAGGAGTAGTAGGATAGGTTATTGATTTATCAAATAATGCTGGTGTTTATTCATATACAGTGACAGATTCAAATGGAAATATCATAGAATAAGATTCAGGTGATCATTTGGCTAAGTAATTTAATACTGCATATTTACAAATGACTTAAGAAATTGAGAGAGGACCTGCAATGATTAAATTATAAACAGATTTAGATAATATTATGAGAGAAGATTAAATGGAATAAGAAAGAAAAGAAGAAGAATCAAGATAAGCATTAGAAGGAACATTATAAGAATAAGATTAATGATAATCATTCATATAAATATAAATATATTCATCTTTAAAACATTATTATTATATATATAATTTATATTTATATAAATGTATTAATATAATTAATAATTATTATTATTATGAAGCCCAATTAAAAAGTATTTGATCATCTCAAAACATATGACTTTTATTTACCTACTCATTTAGAACAAGTATAAAAATCGTATTTTTATTTTTATTATTAGCTTTTATGAATAATTAGTTGACAATTTAGGATTAAGTGAAAGTTTTAGAACTTCATTTTTAAGTTAAATCTCTAAAATTGGTTAATTTGCTCATAATGAATAATAATTTAGATAATTAATCAAAGACTCATGGTCAGGTTTTTTTAATAAAGTTGCTTTAAATTCGATATGTGTCATTTAAGATCAATAAGAATACAAAGAAATACGTGAATTTATGATAAATGTTATGATTGAACCAAAAAAACATGAAATCATATATATTGATGAATTACTATAAATATATGAATACTATCTTTTAGAGGTACACATATAAACATTAATATATTATTTAGAAAAAATATGTTACTAATATTGTAAATAGAACTAAATTTAGAATGATTCTAAGTAAATTGATTTGTAGTAAATTTGTTCTGAATTAAGATGAAAAGTATTAGCCATAAATTAAACAATATTTATTCGAATTATATATTTAGAAAATTGAAAAAATAGATGAAAAAGAAAGAATCCGTGTTGAATAAATCACTAAATCTAATATATTTCATATCCTATTTGAATTATTATTTGATCAAAATGAAGGATAGGGAAATAGATTTCATCATCTAAAATAAATTGTATTGATCTTAATTGATGAATAATCAAATATTCTTATTTCCTTTTAAATTTTAAAAGATTTTAATCAAATGTATTTGTCAAAAGAAAAAATACTTTTTGAAAGAATCGATCCTCGAGCTAATGTTGATCATAATCGTATAGCTATGGACTTAAATTAGAAATTCAAAGAAAAAAAAGATCTTAAAGAAGCCATAAGATCTATTGTTCAAAAATCAACATAAACTATTGATTATAAATAACTACTAAAAGAATTAGTCACTAAAGATATTTATTCTAAAGAAAATGAATAACTCTTTTTCCCTCTTCTTAAAGAATTCGATATCAATCATTTCTAAAAATATCGTAGACAACCTATTGATAATCAAATTATTTAATAAATTAAAAATCTAGGATATATTAAAATTAATGAAAATGAATTTGAAAATGATAATTTTCAACTTCATGCAATGGATAACACAAATATGATTGTAATCAATAAAAAAAATAAATAAAAAGTAAAGTGTACCAACATAAAAGAATTACTCTTGTTTATGTAAAATAGCAATATTTGAATTTGAACTATTATTCTACATACTATAAATCATATTTTTAAGTTTAACTATTATTATACTTTAACATAATTTTTTATATTAATTATATATCTGAATCAAATTCTACTAATCTTGATTTTTAAAAGTCTATTTTAGAATTCATCAAAATTTTAGCTTAGAAAATATTATATTAAATCATAGTAATACTTAATCAATTAATCTCATTAAAAATTAAAAAATTATGAATATATTTAATCAATAAAAAATAAAAATAAAAACTGGATCAGTAATTAGAAAGAGAATTGGTGATACTTAATTATTGAAATAAGTAGATATGTTTAAATATAATTGAATGATGTGTTATAAGTTCATTTTTAATTCCAATTAGTTAGAGTAAGTTAGGTATTAATTACTTAAGCTTGCGTTCCTTATAACATATGTTACAAAATTTCTTTTGTATATTTAAGTCTAGAGATAATAATAGAATGAATTACCTTTTCGTCATTTCGTGATTTTATGACTCGAGAGCAGTGCTCAAAGGAAAATTTTGTCTTTCTCCTTTTTTGTTAATGTAGGTGACTGATTTTGTATCTGAATTTAAAATAATGATGGTTTTGTCAGTGAAATCAACTTAAACTACCTTGTTAGATAATCTAAACATTACAGCATGTTTAGTTTTCATCCATTTTTTGACATAAACCATAGGAATTTTATTATCATCAGATTAATCAATAACTTCTTTATCAGTAGTATCAGTATCAAGATATCCTCTGAAATGTTCAAGCAATGTTACTTTTTTTTATAAATCTTTTGGATAATCATTTAATGAATATGAATTAACTTCATATTATTAATTATCAGATTATTTTTCGATATATTCAAAATAAGTTTATTTAGGATCAGCAATAATTTTAGTAGAATCATTAAAATAGACACCACTACTTCCATTATTTAATAAATATCCTAATCCATATTTACTACTATAATCTACCCATTTTTTAACAAATATTTCATTTCTTTAAATTTTAAATGTTTTCTAATAAATAATTAAATAAAATGAATTACATTATTAATAATATTATTGGTTATTCCTGTAGGTAATGTTTTAGCTGATTATTATGTAGCTCTCATATCAACTAATTTTTAAGAGGATGCTCGAGAATCTTTCATAAAATTATTTTAAGTTTGAGCATCATTCAAAAGTGATACTCTATCTTAACTTATAACTTTCATTAATTATTAAGGAGCTGTATCAGCTAATCTTTTTTATTGAGATGAAGATGATTAAGTAGATTAATATTATGATAACCATGACATTGAAGGAGGTCCAACTAAAGTTGAAATATGAGCAGTTTTTGGAATTGGATTTGATGTCATAAATGGATGTTATAATATTTATTCTAAAGTAGGTCTTTTACTTGGATCAAGAATTAACATTTTTGTAATCAAATTTTTGGCATTATCTGAAATTACTACATGATCAGGAAATGTATATTAACATGCCTTTATTTTCTTATATGTTGTTTTAACATCTTAAGTTTCAAATGGAGGTTTTCCTATCAGTAGAGTGTAAATTATAACACCCAAAGACCATATATCTACTTCATAAGAATGTCCAATTTTTCCATCTAAAATTTCAGGAGCTATGTAATTTGGAGTACCACATATCGTTTTTTTCTTTTCTCCATCAAAATCTAATTTTGTAGCTAATCCAAAATCACCCAATTTTAATTCCATTTTGTCATTTAAAAATAAGTTCCCTAACTTTAAATCTCTATGTATAATTTTGTTTTAATGAAGATATTTAAGTGCATTGACCAATTATAATATATAGCATTAGACCTCTAATTATGTTATTCTTCTTCTTCTTTTTATTAACTCATTTAATGTCTTTGATGATATCATCATATTTATACTTAATTAGTACATAATTCTAGTATTATATAAACATTGTCATGATCTTCAAATACATGTATAAATTAAACTATGTTAGTTTAATGTAACGACTTATGTATTTTGATTTCTGATATCAACTAAACCATATGTATCACTAACTTACTTTCTATCTTGCTCTGTTCCTAGTTAAAGTATTCTTTTAAATTATCTTCGCTGCTAATACTTTTTTTGTATCTATTTCAGTAATCTCATAACATCTTGCAAATCCACCCTTTCCCAATGTCTTTCCTCTTTGATATCTTTTTATTATGACATCTCCATTAGATTTTGAGATCTTTTCTTCAATTATCACATTCTCAACTGTTGCTTATTCTTCCATTTATATATATATATATAATTATTTATATTATTACATTATTACTATATATATTTATTAATTATCATTATTCATCGAATTAGTTTTCCTTATTATTGAAATCTCCTGAATTTAAACCTTAAAAATCATTGTTCAACATTTATTATTATTGGAAGTAATTAAAATTTAAATGAACTTACTATTGAGGCATAAAATTAAAATTGAAACAACAAATATTCTTATCATCCAATTATTATGGCAATTATTATTGGAACAACATACATTGTTAAAAATACAATTGCTATTATTCATTCAATTTCTCATCATCTTTAAATTGATTATCAAATATAGGAACACAAGGGAAATAGGGAAATTATAACATTTAATAATCCTAAATTAAATTTCATAATTACCAAAGGCTATTACTAAAATAATTAATGCTGTATTTATAAAGATTACAAGAATGCATTTTCATCATTCTTATTCAATTTCTCAGTATTTTAATTATCCTTTTTCCTTCTTCCTGCTCCTTTCTGTCTTTTCTTTATTTAATGAATGAAAGGATTAAATTTCTAATGATGAGATCTAATTATTATTTATTTATTTATTTACAACCTACATTAAGATGGACTTCTAGTACCTATTGTCTCACTCATCAACTTAAATATTTTACTAGTCTTTTTTTAATCTTATGATTCCATCACAGATCTATGTATATTCAAAAAATCTATATAAGTTTAATGTTCAGATTCACTCCAATGCCCTGTTTATTAACTTGGATTTGTAATTATTCTTTTTTTATTCTTTCTCTTTTATTAACCATCTTAAACTCCTTAATTTATTTCCTCTTACTTTAGCCAAAATTCCCCTTGGCTCATTTGCATTTTAATTTTTAATAATAAATATATAATTATCAATATATCATTTTCATTCCTTCTTTCTATCTAACCCTATTAATATTATTCATATTAATACACATCTTTCTATAAACCTTACTCTTTTTTCAAAATTATTTATTTTGATATTATAATGTAAACAATACCGCCATTTTCATTAAATCATACCATACCTCTTTTAATCAAAGATCATTTTTATAAACCTAAAACCTTAATTATAATCTACCTAATTAAAATTTAATCAATGGATAATCTTTAGCTAGACATAAAGAATGACCCAAAAAAGGTTATTATTCATCCTTACTCAGTTTTGAAGATATGGAAATTTCATTCAGAATCACAAGATTAAGTATTTGATCAACATTTTGCTTAATTAAACAAATATTCTATTTAAAATAAATGAGTTAAACCACATCTAACCTATACAATATATTCAGGATATGTATAATTATAGATAAAACCATAATATAAGATAGAAACTTTAAAAAAGGCATCAAATATTCTATAATCTTAATGATCTTAATTATTTTTCTTGATCTAGACTACTACTCATTCAACAAAATCTTTTTTGCATCTTCATTATCATGTATTATATTTGTTTTCATTCAGTAATTAGCATAGCGTAAAAATGATATTTAACTAAATTTACTTGCAATATATAATTTCCAAATTACATATTAATAATTGATTAATCTTTATTAGAGATATTAATTATAAAGTAAATAAAGATTTGCCTTTTTAATAGAAATCAAAGAATCGAGATAATAGATTTAAACAATAACATATGCTATCTTTCTAAATTGAATTATTTCAAAATTCTGATTTTATTTTATTTTTCTAGCATAAATCTGATTCTTAAATTGTACTTCAATAAAAAAATTCTGCTGTTGTTAGTTTTTTTTTAAGCAATGAAATCGAATATAATATGATATCTTAATATCTGATTAAATAGATCTTTTACAATTAAATGCTTAATTTATAATATATAATGAATTAGATTCTCAATTAGAGTTCTTTTAATTTAATTAAATTTTTTAATTATCCAATATTCATTATCCAAATTTACTTTATTTTGAATGTAACAATTATAATAACTTATCTTTTATAGATTTAATTTAAATATTGAGTAAAAATAACAATAGCACTAAAATTTAACTATATAATATTTTTATTAATATTTTATAAGTTATGTACTAAGCAGAAGGATTTAAAACTGTAGCTTCTTAAGGATCCAAAAATGAAAATAAGGAAAAAGGAATTGTAGACAACAAAAATTCTAATGATCAAGAGGTAGTTAGATATAGTAATTCTTAAATTAGAATTAGAATCCTTAATAGATGTAAGTTTCTCCAGATTAACCAATAACAACAATTCCAACTCGTCCATCACTACTAAAAATAGAAATATTTATCGAATTATGTACTTTGATTTTATTTATCTACACATGCTATGAGTTTTTCTTTGAATACTAAAAACTTCCATCAACTATAGATATTGATTTTGGATCCAGATCATCATTCAAATAAGTCAATAAACAATATTTAATAATAATACTAGTAGGAGCAATCCTTCTATAAATCTTAATATCCAGTTTATAATTATTCACACATAAATTTAAGTATGATGTATATTTACATTCAAGATACAGGGTTGCAATCAACTCAAAAAATTGTCATTTGGTTTTTAGATATAAACGTTAATTTCTCAGTTTTGAAAAGCTAATTACAATGGGATTATTCATGTATGACACAATTTCGATATTTAAAATAATTCAAAAATAATGGCAACCATTGGCTTTGTATTTATCAGCTCTTTTCATTTTACCTTATATCATATGTTGGATTATATATAATAAAATGATTAATTAATTGGTAAAGAAAGAAACAAAATGAAATATGATTAATAGATGTAATCATATTATATTTATTATTTTTTTTAATTATCATACAAAAGTAATTGATCTTACATATTAAAAAAAATGAAAATTTGTTCTTAAATAAAATATAATTTAAATAATGTTATTTTTGTTAAGACAAAATTTATATAATATAAAGTAAATTAATAAATTAAATAAAAAGATGATCATACTTAAAATTTAATCAATAAAAAATTAAAGTAGGATTAGAAGTAATTTCTCTTTTTAGGGTGTTATCATTAAAATCCATTCTTCTACAAAAACTTAGTCATATCATAGCTGAAAATTAGACTCTTTGATCCTNTACTAAGCAGAAGGATTTAAAACTGTAGCTTCTTAAGGATCCAAAAATGAAAATAAGGAAAAAGGAATTGTAGACAACAAAAATTCTAATGATCAAGAGGTAGTTAGATATAGTAATTCTTAAATTAGAATTAGAATCCTTAATAGATGTAAGTTTCTCCAGATTAACCAATAACAACAATTCCAACTCGTCCATCACTACTAAAAATAGAAATATTTATCGAATTATGTACTTTGATTTTATTTATCTACACATGCTATGAGTTTTTCTTTGAATACTAAAAACTTCCATCAACTATAGATATTGATTTTGGATCCAGATCATCATTCAAATAAGTCAATAAACAATATTTAATAATAATACTAGTAGGAGCAATCCTTCTATAAATCTTAATATCCAGTTTATAATTATTCACACATAAATTTAAGTATGATGTATATTTACATTCAAGATACAGGGTTGCAATCAACTCAAAAAATTGTCATTTGGTTTTTAGATATAAACGTTAATTTCTCAGTTTTGAAAAGCTAATTACAATGGGATTATTCATGTATGACACAATTTCGATATTTAAAATAATTCAAAAATAATGGCAACCATTGGCTTTGTATTTATCAGCTCTTTTCATTTTACCTTATATCATATGTTGGATTATATATAATAAAATGATTAATTAATTGGTAAAGAAAGAAACAAAATGAAATATGATTAATAGATGTAATCATATTATATTTATTATTTTTTTTAATTATCATACAAAAGTAATTGATCTTACATATTAAAAAAAATGAAAATTTGTTCTTAAATAAAATATAATTTAAATAATGTTATTTTTGTTAAGACAAAATTTATATAATATAAAGTAAATTAATAAATTAAATAAAAAGATGATCATACTTAAAATTTAATCAATAAAAAATTAAAGTAGGATTAGAAGTAATTTCTCTTTTTAGGGTGTTATCATTAAAATCCATTCTTCTACAAAAACTTAGTCATATCATAGCTGAAAATTAGACTCTTTGATCCTAAATCAGAAAAATTGTAAATAAAATGAACACCTTTTTATATAATTTTCTCAAAACAGAAAAGAAAATAAATAGATTATCATATTAATTTATTTATTTTCAATTATAAATAGATATTATTATTATCATCAGTTCATTAAATTATAATTACGTCAAAAGTTATATTAATAAATAATACATCTACTATAAAACTTAAAAAACCTACTTAATTGTTTTATGATACCAATTATAAAATAATTAGCAGCTATTCAAAGAGTTGAGAAAAATGAACTTTTAAAAATAGAAAAATTAAAAATAATAAATCCAAAAATCAATACCAATTTATCAACTAATAAATGATTATTCAAAAACGTTATCTTTATCAACAAGCTTCTTATTTAACTAAAAATGATTCTAAACTTTTTTAATTGACTATTATTGGTGCTTTAGTCAATATCGAAGCCTATACCCATGATTCATTCAAAAGATCCTCTTAGACATAATGTGTTTTATATTCTCCAAATGATTTTGTTGGTTTCTTTATTATTTAATTGACATACTTTTTTTGAATATAAAGATTATGCTGATAAATCAAGTTCTTCAATCAATAAATCAAACCCCTAAAATTTAGATTGATAGATTTTATTTTTTTTTGTCAATTTATTCTTTATTACTTATAAAAATTCAAGAGCTAATTCTCTCTACCCTAAAACACTCATTGATGATATAAATCTCTAGATTCTTACTTAGTTTTATGTATAAGAATAAATGCATTGATCAAACTGTTATTAATCGATTATTAATAATTCTTAATTATCATTCCTGGCTATTCCTAAGAATCTCTAAAACATTCTTATATTATCTAAATACTATTACATAATCTAAAATAGAAAATCAATATTACTGATTGATCCTCTATAAAACTATTTCTTTCCTTTATAGATAATCTAAAACTAGTTGTGTTGAAAAATGATTAAAAAAAATTTGGGTAGAGCCATTGCATAAATTGTTTATCAGATTCTAAATCTGAATAAAATTTATTCCATTAATATTGTTAATTATAAGTTTTCCAATGTTTCATATGGAATTGAATTTAATTGTTCAATTAGAATGGATAGATACCTCTATAAAAATCTAAATTAGGGTTCTCTGACATCTTAGGTTAGATTGTTGATCTTCCAAATTATACATCTTTTATTTCCTCCCTCGATTCACACATACCCATTTATTTAATTATATATATATATATAATTATTTTAATAGTTTTTCTTATTAAGAGTATAATATTTTTATCTATTACACTTTACTTAATAAGAACATTAAGTAATACAATATTAATGTTAAATTATTTATTAAAACTTCTTTTTTTTTTTAATTGAAGAAATTCCATTATTATTAATAAAAAGTATTTTCTTTGATAATAAAATTTGATTCCATAAAATTATCATCTTTCAACTAAAGTAATTAAGATTATAAATTAAAATACATTTCATTAAAATAAAGTATTTAAAGAAATTAAAAAAGAAATTTTTTTTGAGAATATGCAAAACTACTGTTCAAACACTTTTCAAAACTTTTATTATTTCAGTTACAAAATTGTAACAATTTAACTAATTGATGTTGAATAGAAAATAACAGCAAAAAGTTATTTGGATAAAATTTATTGCTTAAATTATAAAAATATGTTAAATTTAATAAGTTTTTATTATTTGAAGCAAATTAAAAAACTATAAAATCAAGAAAACTTATCTAAGTTTTAAAGATCTGGATATTTTTTTTTAAATGAATTGATTAGTTCTTTTAATTTGACTTGGCATTAATTAAAATCTATTTAATTGATCTCAGATATTGATATAATCCTAGAACTCTAAAATAAATTTAATTGAATAAGTACAAATTAATCTAATATTTGATTTTAATTTTGATAATCTTTCTAAATAACGAAATCACTTATCGAATAAAAAAAAGTAGAGGCTGTTAGGGTATTTGCATGAAATTAAATAATTGAATAATCATGAAGGCACATCTTTAAAATATAGATACTTGCTTCAAGTATGTTCTATAAATTAGGACTAGAATAAATGATTAAAATTACTCATCATTTAAACTGAAACATTAATAATAGAGATTATAAAGCCTATCAAGAATTGTAGGAAATGTGATTTCATAATTCAAGGTTTCTAGTATGATTTTTTCCATACCTTTGATTTTATTTCTAATTTAAATAAATAAAAATTTATTACATAGAATATTTATTATGACTTACTCTTTAAACGAAATCTTCCAAAGGTATATGATAAATATCTTCTAATTTAGTGGCTATAAACATGCAACTAATTCCTATGAGATGTAAATTTTGATCAAAATATTATGTATTTGATTTGGATAAGAAATAGTCCATAATTGATAAAGATCTAAAAAAAGTAGCATTGGTTGTGGTTTCAGTATAATTACCTAATACTTCAATCATCCAATCAACCATCCTACTTCTTAATTGTTATGATATCTTATGATTTTGCAAACTATTTCCAAGATAAACATATTCACTTTAGAGTGAATATTTAAATTCTTAATAGTAATGTTTATTATATTGCCATTGTCTTCTTAATTAAGAATTATTAGGATCATTTGTAATGGCCACTAAAATAATATAAAATAGAGATACATTTCTATTAAACATCTTCTAATAAGCAAGAACACAATTTTAAATTAAAGATAGACTTTTATTATAGTTCTTCAAGTTCAATGATGAAATTTAATAATTTTCCTTCTTCAGGATATTATTGTTATTAGTCAAAAGATTAATAACTAGTATTAAGAGAGGATAATTATTATATTTTATGATCCTTCTTAATTTTCAAATGTGGAGAGGGACTTCTTTAGTTTTTTGATAATTTAGTTTCTTAAATCATAAAAATAAGTTGTTTTAAATGTCATGATTTCGATTAAATAGAGTAGATAGTAATGTTTTTAGTGTGAATAATCTTTTTTCAGTGTAAATTTATTGAATAATAATAAAATTAATTGATTTGATTATGTTCATATAATGAATCATTTATAATTAAGTGCAATATATTTGATTGCGGCTTTCATCATATCTGTCTAAAGTTTTGCATATTAATTAGTAATTGATGTTGGAACATCTCCTCTAGGATCAAAACATTAAATAGCAACTATCTTAGTCATTTAATTTGGTTATGGAATTATAATCCAACCACTTAAATGCATTTCTGCTCTTTCAATTTTATTGATTGGAGGTGTTTTTTAATGAATTATTGATTTAGCTAATTTTTATAATCAATTTAGTACAGCAGACAATATAAATTCCATCATTTTATTTATAAACTTTCTAAACCATTACCAGATCTCTGCTACTCATAAATGGAATAGGAGGTTTAATTCTCACATATATAATTCTAGTATTAGCATCAATTTATTCAATCACATGAGCCTATTATCATTCTATATAAATATTACAGTTTCCACTTTCTCATCATACAAAGGCCTTTTATTTACATCACTAACCAAATCGAAAATCTAATCAGGGGTCCTTGCTATTTCCGTTTAAGATCTATTCATATTTATTCCATTTTCTGGATTCTTCTTTGTATATACTATATATCCTTCCTTATTTTAATATAATTCCCACATATTTTATTCATTTATTTCCTACCATTTCATCATTTTATTTTTAGCCTCTATACTATTAAATAAATTTGTTACCATCGATGAATGCTTCGTAATTAACTTACATAGATTAAAATAACACATTATTTTTTAATAATCAATACAATAAAACACATAATTTATCTATATAGATTATAAATAACTTTTAAATTGGTTCATTATTTAATTCTGCAATCTTCTTTTAATATGAACATGAATTTTATATCAATATTTCAAGAATTATTCAATTAATTATATAAATATATATATTATGGAATTTTAAGAAATATCCAAGTTATGTAATTCTAACTATAATTAATTTCAACTATTATGACTATTTGTAAGAGTATGAAAATAATCCAATCTCCCAATGTCATCCTAATGATTTTCTCTTCTAAATATTTTACTAATTCCTCAACAACTAAACCACAAAAATTTTACAGATCTTTATTGAAAATAAAAAAATATTCATGTATTTTCTTCAAAAATTAAAAAATTTTTCAATTGAAGACTAATTGACTGATAAATATAACAATGAGTATCTTTATTTAAAATTATTTCACAATTAATCATTGTTTTTATTGATTCAAATTCATTAGAATAAAAAACATTGTATAAATTTACTTTATTTATTCTAACACATTATTTGTTTCTTGAAATTTTTTCAAACTTTCAATTTTTCCTTTTATAAATTTCAAATTATCACTATTTTTGCTTCATTTTTTAATACTACAAGTAAAATAATATGAATTAAACTAATCTATAAAAGATCAAAAATTCAATTAGTTTTTTTTATTTATAAAGTTAATATACATTATTAGAATTTCTCAATTTAATAATCAAATTTTCAAAAAATATTCGTTGTTATTATTTAATTTTATTATTCTATTTGTTATTCATTATAGAAATTATTATTATTTCGATTAAGAATTAAAAATTATATTTATCAGATAGAATTTAACATAGAAATATTTAACAGATAGAATATTTTAGCTTTTTAAGTCAGAAGGAATTTCAAAAATCTTTATATTAATAAAATTAGATGAGAGTAATTATTATTCTACTTATTGAATTGCTAGTAAATGTGTTTGGCTAAATAAATAAATCAGTTGATTGCAATAGATATTTTAAGAAATTTGGTATAGAGGAAGCAACTCTTTTTTTTAAGGGAAATGTGGATGTTATTTAATAATCCAATTAAGTTTAGATTAATTTGCAATACTTTGATGATTCCTTTGATGATCCAAAATATTTTGGCTTAGTTGAAGAAGATGGAAAATAGTTAGAAACAGTTTGCCTTAGACTGAAAATCTTCTAATTCACTAATCAATATCATAATTCTTCAATTTAAATAAAAGATTTAAAATTAGAGTCATAAAGTAATCCAGAAAGTAAAGATAGATATTATTCATTTTTAATATAAGAATCGTAATTAGATTCAAGATTAATTTCTTACAATGAAACTACTTATTAAGGATTTTATTCTTTCATTTTTGAGTCAATAGATGAACAATAAAAAATATATGAATATGTTTTTGATTTCAATATCACTTTAAATAAAACATCAGATAAATCAAACAATTCAAAATAAATTAGATTTTTATTAACAAAAGAATCAAGCAATACTGAAACTTAAAGTTAATTATTTTGGTGCTCAAATATCATTTGTTCAACTATTTTGGATAAAACTCCAATTATTCGTTTAGGTGATACCTTAACTATAAAATAAGTTGTTACAACATCTAATATGAATAATACAAAATTAATTAAAACTGAAGCTTGGATGGAAAATAAGGAAATCAATAAAACTATCAATATTTTACGAGTGAATAATACAATTCCTGGATAAGTCATAATTGAATTCAAAGCTGAAATTGTTTCTTCATAAATAAAGATTATGATTGTTTCTTATTTAGAAGGATAAACACATCCTAATAATTAAATAATAAATACTATAGACACAATTATTAGGCCTTTAAATTAATTAGATTCATCTTAAAATGAGACTATCCTAAAATGGTGTACTAATTTAGATTGCTCATAATATCTTAACGCTGCTCCATAGCTTTATTTAAATGATTTATATGTATTATAGTTGATTGTCAAGTCTTCAAAAAGTTACTATTTAAATGCACCGAATGTATTTTATTCTGGTAATGGATTAAATTCTTAAGCACAGCCAATTTCTGTCAATAACTAAAATCCAGGCTAAGTAATTATTTAATTAAAGGCTGATATTATATGGAAGTAATTTACTATTAGAGTTGATTCTTTTCTTTCAACTGAATAAAATTCTGTTGCACCATAAGATGATGTGGTCAGTTAAAAGACTGAAATAATTGAATGTATCAAACCCATGGTTTAAGAAACTTGTGCAAGTTGTGAATAAGAATGTGAAAATAATGGATTTGCTCATGAAAGTTGTGGAGAATGTTCATTTTCCTTATCCACCTAGGCATTAACTTTATTCTTATTATCTATTTGGTTCCATTTTTGATAGAGTTATTTGTGTATTCATTTATTATATATTTTGTGTTATTCCACTAGTTTTTATTAT